CTACAATCACAGTTTATGAACAAAAGTTTATCTTAAAATATAACAGGTTCTTCACACTACTGTTTAGCTTTCAGCCAGCAATATTCCCAGAGGAGTTCGCTAACCAATTTCGATGCTTTAAAACAATCGGAGCGTCCAATATGAATTCTGTATGTGGGTAGCAATGGTAATTACTTTCTGCCTCCAGTGGCCTGTGTTGTGTGTTTTGCCATTGTTGTAGTGTTTATTTGAGTGATATTGAGTTTTGTGATGAATCGTATTGGTAAAGGTGATATCCTCGCCAATTTGTGTTGAAGATTTTGCTAAAAGTATTTTTGTTAGATGTTTTAAATAACTGTAAGAAACTCGAAACTAAGGCAGATTATAGATTGAGAAGATACAGTAAGGTTTTAAGTATCAAATTGCAAATCATTAAGAGTTTATTACCATAGGGACCTGTGAATTCGGGACCAGCAAATTCCGTAATAATAAATACAGCTAAATTGTTTGTATAACTATTTTATAACACTAACAAGTATCAAACAAAAATTTAATATAAATTAACATCAATCCGTTTATACCCAAGGCTAGACAGAGCTGCATATTTACGGCACTTAATGCCACTGTACAATATGTGACATCCACTTTTCACTATTAATGTTATGAGTCCCATGTAGGTAATAGGGGGTGAGCCTATTGCCATTTCCAAATAAAAAAAATTCGTGCTTTTATGACATTTTTTTAAAACCTAATAATAAACTTACCTCGACCCGGGAATCGAACCCAAGACCCCTTCCCCGGCAGTCACACTTCCGACCACTCGGGCAACGAGGCAGTAATTTAATATTTTTCCAAAATACTACTGAAAGGACACAATTTAAGTTATACAAAATACGTAGATAGAAATTTAGACTTTCTGAAATAAGGAACGCAGACTTGAAGCAAAAGAATTTGAGCACTTTAATATTAGCGTAACAATACATGACTAAATTGAAAATCCTCAGAATTGTCGTGAATGCGGAATGCAGAGTGAATCCTTCCTTATGCATTTGAATAAAATAAAAATTGTAGAAGCGAAACATTTTAAATATTTTATGTTAAAAGACGTACAATGAATAAGGAAATGTAGAAACTGTTTGTTTTGAAATAGAATTTTACAATTTTGGCGACAACATCTATTGTAGAGGTATTATAACTTTCGTGAGACATACTAAATAAATTATTATGTTTTCGGCTTACTCACGTAATTATTTGACGAGGAACTCGACTACTTTCAAGCCATGCTAGAGGCGCGGCGACTGTCGCGCTGCTACTGTAGCAGTAACTGTACTGTAATAGCAGCGCGACAGTCGCTGCGTCGCGGGTCGCGAAATGCTGCTCATGAATATGAGCCTCCAGCATGGCTTGAAACTAATCGAGTTCCTCATCAAATAATTACGTGAGTAAGCCGAAAACAATAATATAGACAGCATCTATTGTTTGGACTTATACCTACGTATTTGTAGAACCAATAAATGTAATACTTACAAAATTATACCACCATATTTAAATGTTCATGGCTTTTTAATTTTATTCTGAAGTAATGTTTTTATACAGATGGACCATTAAAGTATACTTTTTATTTCGTCAACAGATCGCTATTTTGAGCCATAAAATAATCCCTAGAATAGAATAAAATAGCTGTTTCTTCCCTAGTTCATATGTTACAATAATGTCCACAGGTTGATGGTGTGTTCAACCTATTGTTGTATTAGCTACTTACAATCTACCTATGTTTGTCTGAGAGATATCTATATAAGTGTCGTGTAGTGTGTGCTGTGAGTTTGTTAGTTTGTGTAGATATAATTTATATAAATTAAATGTATAGTTCCATATTGCCCTATCATATTAACCACTGATTACAGTTTATGTGAATGTGGAGTGGTCGTAACATACAATAAAATAATCCCATACTTAAAAAAACCGACGTGTACGAGTCCACAGAGAACTACACGTCTAATGTTAATTAAAAGTAAACCAGAGTAGGTGTCATATTGTTAAAATCCAACTCGGTTTCAAATCCGTCCGAGTCTAGACAGTAATATAATTTTTTTCTTCGCACGTTCTCGGAACATAAATTGAAACGCCACAACGCGTTTCCGACGGCAGGAGCACATTTAAATTTCATCAAAGACCCACGAGAACATCCCTAGCTGTGCAAAATTGTATTTTCTGCTTGAGAGGAACGAATATGAAGGGACATGTCTTTCACATTTCGACTTCCCGCCGTCGATTCGTATTTCATTTTGTACTCAGATTCCATTTTGTTGATAGTGATACCTTTGAGATTATTTGCATTGTTACTCACGACGATGATTTGGTCTTTCATACACTTTAAGAATAGCGTAGTTATTTTTTTTTATGTTCGTCTTGTAGATTAATTTAAAACATTAGACACGTATTTTTTGTTTTCTCGCAAAATTAAATACTTCCGACGATATATTAATCTGAAATATCGTGTGCGCTACATTTTGTAGGGTATAGTGACGTAACGACCTCCTAAACTTAACTCTATTTAATCTACGAAAAAAAAATACCTGTCTAATATTTTTCATTATCTAACTAACGGACTAAAAAGATTTTTAATTTTCATTCCCTGGCAACTACCCTATTCAATACTCATAATTTCACTTAATTTAGGTAAATTCATAAGACTCACATAGGCAGTAAATGTTATTCTATAAAATCGACGGCGACTTTTATTAATTAGTAAAAAGCCTTTTCTTGGAGATTTCATAAATTTATAAAATTAAGGTAACTAGGTTTATTGAAAACAGAAAAGTTACCAACAAAACACACCCAATAAAAACATTACCCTCCTTCTTTGGCAGTCGGGTAAAAAGGCCGAAGAGCAATAATGTCTGGATTGCAGTTCAACGAAATAAAATCTGGAATTTCTTTGTTGCAACGAAGCATAAATTCTCAATGGACGTGAATCCTTATCGACACTTTATCCCGCAGATACACAGATGCAATTTGCAACCTCAATTTATGTTTCCGCGTTGCTAAGTCCTGTTCAGTTGGCCCACTTCTGTTGGATAAAAGTGAATCATAATTCATGAATGTTTTGCATTTTACCGTCATCTTTTTATTTTACTGTTGACTAGGGAAACGCTTAATAAGTAATTTTATGTCTTTTATTTCTTATATCTTAGAGTTTTCATACTGATTAAAGAGAATTTACAAACCTATATTTATCCAAAACATATTTCTCGCTATTATGAGGTTAACTAAGTAAATGTACCCACGTTGTGTCGAATACCTACTAAGCACAATAGCATGTCGCGGAGAACCTAACGAGAAGGAACGGGGTGGTTTTTAGTCAGTAAGAGTCTGACACTCCCTCCCGCCTCACCCAGGCGGGAGCAGTCATTCGATGATTTTCCCCCTTAAAAAAAAAAAAGCACAATAGCTTGATATAGGTGATATCGGACGGTTCACTCCAATGAATACACACCCAAGTGAATGTTTTGACTTTAGACGACTGACAAAGAAATGAACGTTAATTTATTATTTTTTTAAATATGTCATCAAGTGATATCGTGCCTCTTGGAATCAGTTTAATTTGTGTTGTAATAGCCAATAAGAAATTCACACAACACAACCCTATATTTGAACCCACTGACAAACAGAAGGTTCCTTCAAACGCAACAAATACAAAAATATGACCGAAACACCAACAGTTGATTTAAGAAAACGTATCTGATTTGCTAAGGGACCATCTTGAATGATTGGGTAGAAAAATGTGCGATAAAAATGATATGAAAAGCAATAAAGATATACATACATGTCAATCTAACCGACATTATAGGTACGGGAAATGAAACTCGTATGAAATGCAATTCCATTACTTTTCCAATCTCAGCTTTTCGACGCCAATGTTGAATAAACTGTAATGTGGTAACATGTTCGTGAAATTCGTACACTTATCATATTTTATATATGAGATGTTAATGATAAAAATAGGTACCTATCACACACTTGAGGTATTCAGCGTTCATTTTAATCATTTCGTATGAGTTTTGTTCTAGATGATAATCAGTGACATGTATAGGGTGCTTACTCTTGAAACCAATGTCAACGCAATTTCAATCCAATATAATCTCAATAAGTATCCAATGTCAAAACTATACAAACCCTATCATAGCTGTCAAAGTAGCATTTAGAATACGGAATATAAAGCCAAACTCAATACCATTTAATTCATTAAATATCCAACCAATACGAATGCAATGGGCGCTAGAGTACGAAATTTCACAATACCAATGTCGATCAATCGGAATTGGATTCAAGAGTAAGCCCCATGATCTATTCACGTTAACAAGCAATACTAAGTGTATCTTGTTTTTAGCTTTGGTTAAATTAATATAATGTATAAGAAATGACGGATAATTTTAAAGCAGTTAAATAAATACACCATAAATGACGCCATAACAAACATAACCAAAACTGTCCATTAATTTAATCTCTCTAACAGCAACTACAAACTAAATACATACTTAAATTAATAAGCCATTAGACTAAGTTCCAGTATTGGTTTAAGGACCAAAACTAGAACCACACGAACCACGTCAACGTTGGAATAATAGAATCCATTACTTGACGTTTAACTTCGACATCAGGATTAGTATTGAAGTTTAGGAAATGCTCTTTAATTCAAATTGGTCCATATAAAGCAGAGTGCAAATTACTAGAACTCTCAGTTAGCTGTGGACTTGTTTAGACTAGTTTCATGTTAATGGATTCCACTTACTTAACAATGCAATTTCAGAAATATTGGAATTTAATTAGAAACCTTTGTTACGCACATTGTAAATTATCTATCACCTATTACTTGGACAAAATATAAAATTCACATTTTTATACTTGTCTTAAAACCAAATTACCAATGACTAATGTAACTGCAAGCAGTTCTATATAACTAGAATATTGACGTCATCTATCCTTGCTAAAAACTTAACAAATGTATCTCATCTTTCCAGGTCCTCTTCGATAGCTTCACTCTTGGGCGCTTCACCTCCTTCACAGAAGACGGCTGTCCAGATGGCTACATGCAGATCCAAGAAGCCAGCAGACCACAAGTCGGAGGCTCGTGGTGTGGAACTTCCTGGGGCCCTTCCATCTACTACAGCGAAACAAAATCTATCACCCTCATCATACGACTCTTGCATTTATCGAAGGAACAAAATAACTATAATTTCGACTTCAGAATGGCTTATAAGGTTTTGAGAAGGGAATATGCCACCGTCCGATACGGAGGGACCCCTCCTTCGGGTACGTAAATCATTTTGATTCTGACAAACGGCCAGCTTTGTATTCTGTTGCTAAAGATAGTTTGCGAAATGTTGATCATAGGCATTTATTTGGGCGGAATACATTTACAAGTGGCCACAAAAGAGCTTGATAAAAATGTTTGAACAGTTGTACTGATAGCTTAAGTAATCAACGGATATTATATTGTACCGTCATATAAATGTCCTTTATCTAAATCAGCGCTTATTGAGATAAACTGAAAACCAAATAAATGAACAACAAAGGGAAGCGCTCATAAAACATAACAGAATTTCACAACCTTCCCTTATGTCTTACATAATAAAATTCGAAGATCAATGTCTCCATCTAATAACAGTATCTCATTCCAGAACGGCCTTTTTTCAAACTGAGGCCAATGCCTTATCCCGTAAACATATCACGCGGCGAGGATACGACTGTAGCCAAGACGACAAAAACTCCAGAGTATTACCTCGGGGATTTGATTTCTGGAACTTATTGCTCACGGATATTCAGCGACTGTGATCGTAAAAATTGTAGGTTACAGTCACCAAATTTTCCCGGTGTGTACCCTAGAAACCTGACATGTTACTATGCGGTGCGACAACACGAAGTGCCTCAAGGAAAGCACGCCCTTATAGTTGTTAAACAGCCGAACGGCCAACTAGTTTCCATTAGGAGCCAGAAGGCTTTGTACGCAGCGCAACAAGAACGGGGTAATAATGGACGAGAGCTGAAATTTTGGCAACAATGTGACGAAGTTCAAGACTATGTAACGGTTTACGATGGCTATACAACAAGAGATCCAGTCATATTGAGATTTTGTGGAGGAGGTGTATCCGTTCCCGAGGCGATATCGAGTGGTCCTGAATTGTTAGTAGAATTTACGACTTCACCTTTCGGAACGTTTTTACAACCAGTAACGTCACAATCTCTTCATGGATTTCAGCTGGAAGTTGAGGTGAGATTTTATAGTTTCTAGTTTGAAATTTTGTAATCCTCATGACATAGTATTTGCAGCTATAACGTTTATTATATTTACATAGTCATTGCCTAAATCATTGATAATGATATCAATGATTGACCAACACATTGGACAGTTCTAAATGCGGCAGGTAATTACACCAACAATCTATTTCAATGAACCACACAACTCCCTGTGTTACGTAATAGGTATCTCATTACTAAATCACATACATCCCTTATTTTGTTCCTAATTTAGAAACTCAAAGGAGTATTCACCCTTCTCGCTAATGGGTCCATTTTCCACTTTTAATATGAGTTTCCCAAAAAAACCAGTTCATATTTGGACACCGGCCAAATTGGAATTACAGGAACGGTTGGAACTTTTTCATGATAAGCGTTTCGGTATAAGAGATTATGGAAATTGAAAACTATTTTTTCCTTATTATTTCCTTTTACTGTTTTTTTTATTCGGATTAAACTAACTGTTGTATGGAATGATGAAGCGAAGAATGAATTAATATTTTTTCCATCTGCTTCTATAGAAGTTAGCACATATTCATTTTATATACGGTATGATTTTGGCGCTTCCCGACAATTACGAGATTTAAACTAATCGCTCCACATATGATCCTAAAACTAGGTTAATGGACTAATATATCATCGTAGAGTGTTATTTAAAGTGTTTCGTTTTCAGTGAACAATAATAAATCAAGTAGTGCCCTAGAGGTTCACTTGGGCCCCTGCCAAAGTGTAATTAGTAACGTAGGCTTGCACGGACGGTCACAATAATGAACCGAGCGAACTCTACACCAACCCACATTGTTCTAACTTATGAAATTAGGACGACCCCAATCTTTCACTTTTCAATATAACTCTTTTTTATTACTTTTTTGACAACCCTTTTATATTTGGGAAGCGTTGTTGGTTCACCACTGTTTCAATCCTAATGTTGACTGAAATAGAACCCTGAAAAAGTTTCATAACTCAATCACTCTGTTAATGTCAATACAAAGCAATTATAACCGCTTCCAAAACACTATTAAACTTGGTATCCTATAACAATGAATTCCTTCTAATTATACCTTCCATTAATTATGATAAAGGACTGTAAGGCATGTCTGTCGCAGTTATCATATAATTAATCAATTTTAGGTCAGGTTTGTGGATCAACAGTCGCCGACGTACGCGAAGAACAAAAGGGCCTGCGAGTTTTGGATTAGAGGGACAGGCCGAGGGGTTTTGGAACACCCGCAACATTCCTTGCCTCCGAATACCACATGCCTTTACCACATGCAAGGAATAGACACCTCTGGCCCCTCGGGTCGCAACATAATTTACAGAAGGCCCTCATTTTCAGCTCCACGTTTCAGAGTGTGGTTTTCAGTATTGAAATTTTATGTGACAAACGCTTTAAATCCTAACTTGCCCGAGGACGAGTACTGTGGGAGCCATTTGAATATATGGGATGGTCCGATGAGAATATCGCCCGGTTGCAGCGATATATTTTGGTGAGTCATTTTTCATGCTAGCGCCAGTTCGTTGATTTTACGATATAAGTGAATCAAAGTTGTTTGAAAAATTTTATATTTGATTTAACTTATATACCTTACTTGCTATGAAAGTAAAATATAATATATGTCAGTTTTAAACTTTCTAAACTTTTTCCTCGTAGCGACAAAGAGAGGTCAGTGCAGATGTCTCGGGCGACCTCCCCTCAATCAGTAATAGTGGGTCGTCCCCCAACAAATGCTACCTTAGTTGCAAGGTTCTGTCGGGAGCGTGCCCCAAGGACATGCGAACACGCGTTATTACGAAGATCCAGGGCCTGTGCAAAAACAGAAAGTTTTCTTTCTAAAGGGGACTCATTGACATTGGAGCTAAAATTGACGCAGGGGACCGCATTGAAGTAAGTTCAGATGTAAAATGCAAATGATACGGTAGTCTGTACATATGTAAATATTCCATTGCTAGCGTAGAATTGTATAGTACTTAGTAAATGTCTAACAAGGTACGAGGAAGTCTTGGAATCGTACAACATCCATTCTTAAGTTCTGTGACAATTTTGTGAAATTGTGATTCTTTGGTGTTGAAAGTTTATTGCTGCTCTCTACTATTTACTATTTCAGTATCCTTGTATTTCCTCTGTATAGTATTTGTGCTAAATATTTATCCTTTCTTATTTCAGACCAGTTTACTTCAAAGCGCTTTATGAGTTCGTGGACTTACATCAAGATGGAGAGCCCTGGGGTCGGGGGTCTTGTTCCAGACGATTTGCTTCACGTTCGTTCCCAGAAGCACCTCCTGATCCACCGATAACGTTTTCATCTCCACGAGACGTATTTCTGTATGGAAGAGGAGGAAATCGAAATATTAGGTATGAAAACAGTTAATGACTTCAATACTCGGTTACAATTACAATAACATTCTTAAGCAAAAAGTTGTTTAGAAAAGTAACTCTATGTCGATGAACTATAAATATTTAAGTCACAACATCACGTTACGCCTTCTTATCTATGAAGGAGTAGACAGAGGTTTACATAAACTTACAACATGACATCGACTTTTCACCAATTATGTGGTAGTATTTTTTTGTATGGAATAAGCCGGTAAACGGACGGACGGAGACGGATCATCTGATGGTAAGCAATTGGCGTCGCCTGTGGACACCTGTTGCAAGTGCGTTACCGCCGATTTTATTAGGGATTTGAGGATTTTTTGGGATTCAGCAATTGGGGAACATTGTAACCTCACGCACACGATGAAACACAGCGCAAGCGTTGTTTCACGTCGGTTTTCTGTGATGTCGTGGTACCACTATACCTATGTAGGTACAATTACCACTTAATACTAGGCACTATTGTACTGGACAGGATAAAATTGAAAACGCTCGTGTCAGATATGTTAAACTTGAAAGTACTTTTTTATCTGTGTGCGTGCCTACTGTCGAATAAATGATTTTTCTTTCTTCTTTCTTTCTTTACCAATTATTAGACAGCAATAATTAATTTCCTATATATTACAATTTCAGTTGCACTTATCGCTTCGAAGCAAATCCCGGTGAAGTAATAAGAGTTCGAGTATGGGGGATACGGAGTGGAGGGCGACTGTGCCGGTCTGTTCATTCTGCTCATTCACCATGGTACCGCTGCGCTGGGGACATTACTGCAGCCGTCAGAATCTTCGACAAACCCTGGAGAGACGCTGGTTCAAGAATACCTAGGGACTGCTTGTGCAGGTAACTTCAATTAAGTAGTTTTTGTCTAATTAGTAATGTAACTTAATCATGGGTATATTCATTCGTTTAGGTTTAGTTTTTGGAAATTAAAAATTGTATTGAGTTGATAGACTTGATTTTTATTCTAAATATGAACTTAAACTAATACTTTACTCGCTCGGTTTAGCCACTGCTCGCTTGAAAGAAAAAATAAATTTTGATTTTTGGAAATAAATTCCTTCTGGTATTTATTTTCTAATTGAAGGAAAAGCCAATAAACTAATGCTCGACCCGAGGATACAACATTTTTTTTTAAGGGGGGAATATCATCGAATGGTTTCTCTCGCCCGGGTGAGGCGGGAGGGAGTGTCAGACTCTTACTGACTAAAAACCACCCCGTTCCTACTCATGCACTTTGAGTCCGGCTCGAAGCGCCCTAGTTAAGCCGTTAGGTTCTCCGCGGCTCAAATATTTAAAGTTATATTCCTCAGTTAAAATTTATATGACGTTGGAACTATTCAGCAGTCACACTTAATATTCAGCAAAAGAAGATAGAATTTAAAGTAAAAACTGTTCTATTTTCCAGTGACGTTGGCGATTACGAATTCACATCTCTATCCACGGTTGCTGAGCTCAGATTTGACGTCGTCAACATGACTGCTTCTGACGACTTTAGATCGTTTGGATTCGAAGCTTCTGTAGAATTTGTACGATTGGAAGCTGGATGTGAAACCTCTCATCGAGTTTATGGTGCTAGCGGAGAATTGAGACTTGCTTCTTCAAATCCGATGTCGGAATCGGTAAGAATGATAAAATAACCTTATTTTAATATCAGCGAATGTTATATACAGTTATAAATGGTAGGTTTAATATTTTACAAACAAATAAGGAAAGTTTATATAATTACGGTTGTGAAAATAAATTCCTCTTTCGTTTATTATGTCTCATGCAGATTGCTCTTTATTATGCCTAAATTGTGGGTACTACTGGTAGTTAGCAGAGCTTAATATATACTTTTTTAGAGATGAAAAAATGTAAAATGAAATATTTACCGATAGTAGAAATAAATTAAACTACATTTTTCCAGGAACGCTGTGAACGTCGTCCATGGCTGATTGATCCATCCCCAGGCCGGTACCTCTACCTCCAAATCCGAGGAAGCATCATCAGGGAACCAGAATTAGATAACTTCACTCTTCTAAATAATATCACTGTGGCTCCAGATATGAGACACCTTTGCAGAACTCCTAATCGAATAGCAGTTTACACTGGAGGTCTTGCTCCTACTTTTATTTGTCCTGAACCTCCTGAAGAACAGGTAAACTTTGATCATAAAGTTACTCATAATTAATTATTATTAACATAACATAACATCACGCCTTTTATCCCCGAAAGGGTACGCAGACGTGCACACAGAAGTAACTTTTCCACCCACTTTTCACTATTTATGTTATGTGTTATGAGTCCCATGACTACATGGGCCTATTGCCATATACCGGGCACACAATTCCAGACTCCGTGCTACTACTGAGATTTGTTCAAAAACCCAGTATTACTTTGCCCGACCCGGGAATCGAAGCCGAGACCCCTTGCCCCGCAGTCGCACTTGCGACCACTCGGCCAGCGAGGCAGTAAATTATTATTATTATTTGTTTGTATATTTTTAAATCATACAGGTAAGTATGTTATAATTTAAGCCCAACAAAACCGTATCAATGGTTTGACTGTGGGATCGAGTCACTAGGCATTACAATTAAATGTACTTATTATTATTATACAGGCTTTGAAACTTAAACAATATGTAGAATTTGAGACATTTCTAGGTAATATGACTTTAAATTATGTTTAAACCTATTTGAATTAGTTTCGCTGCTTATGTCTTTCGGCAGACTATTCAATAGATATGGTATTCTGTTTTTTAGTGTTCTATCAACAAAATAGTTGGTGACTCTGGGTGCTGGTAAATAATATTAGACATACATACATAACATCACGCCTTTTATTCCCGAAGGGGTAGGCACATTATACCACTGTACTTACAATGTAACACCCACTTTTCACTATTTATGTTATGAGTCCCATGTAATAGGGGGTGAGCCTATTGCCATATACCGGGCACAATTCCAGACTCCGTGCTACTACTGAATTTTTTTTTAAAACCCAGTAATACTTTGCCCGACCCGGGAATCGAACCCGAGACCCCTTGCCCGGTAGTCGCACTTGCGACCACTCGGCCAATGAGGCAGTCAACATAATTAATATTAGAGTCCATGTAAAAGAGTCAAACTTCATAGTAGGACTTCGCTTAGTCAAACTTCCAACTGATATTTTGAGACGTGGTAGGCATAATGCGGGTATATTAAATTTTAATACACACTTTCCAATTACCTATGTTATGCAGGAGTCCCGTTCAAAAAGTAACAAGCCTAATATCATACCATATTCAGATACACAAATAAATACTCCACAATATTAACTAAAAAAGTCTTGAAGATACTGGAACCACGACAAACTGAAACTATACATGAAGTAATTTTAATGACTTCATTTACTACTTTTTCAGATGGAAGATATGGTGGAAGTTTTCTCTGATGGTTGGTCCAGAGAAGTGGATCCTCTTGCTCGACACGTGTTTGCTTCTCCCTCTGCCTCCGATCACTTCGACTTGGACTGGCCAAGATCATTGAGTGTAGAACTCATTGCTGTAGAACCTGCTTCCTATTATGTTACGTGGTTGGAACTTTCTAGAAGGTATGTTCAGGTTTTGGTTACATTAATTTAATGTAGTTTTAATGAATTTTTTGGTGTCTGTAATGGAACTATGTATTGAAAACGTGACAAAAGCAATATTTAAGGAAATTATTTGCGTCGTCGACTTCATTTAGGAGGACGTCCCAATAATTCTTTAATGATTTTACTCGTTTGGTATTTAATTTAATAAATAGAGATTTTTATCTCCAACTTATGCTACCTTTTTTATACATAACATAACATCACGCATTTTATCCCCGAAAGGGTAGGCACAGGTGTATACAGAAGTTACACCCACTTTTCACTATTTATGTTATGAGTCCCATGAAATAGGGGGTGAGCCTATTGCCATATACCGGACACATTTCCAGACTCCGTGCTACTACTGAGATGTTTTTAAAAAGCCAATAATACTTTGCCCGACCCGGAAATCGAACCCGAGACCCCTTGCCCGGCAGTCGCACTTGCGACCACTCGGCCAACGAGGCAGTCAAATCTTGTTTGTGTAGTTTAAAAATATTTTGTCAGACACGCAAGTTCCCACGGCGGCGTGTTCGCGCTGTCGGACGAGTGCGAGTACCGGTGCGCGTCGCTGGACGCCTGCATCGCGGCGGCGCTGTGGTGCGACGGCACGCCGCACTGCCCGCGCGGGGACGACGAGCGCCTCGCGCACTGCTCCGCCCTGCTGCGGGCGCCCGCGCACCTGGCACTCATGTTTCTAGCGCTCACACTACTTGCTGCTTTTGCTGTGGTGAGTTATGTCTACATTATTACGATTTTTTTTAAGGGGGGAAAATCATCGAATGACTGCTCCCGCCTGGGTGAGGCGGGAGGGAGTGTCAGACTCTTACTGACTAAAAACCACCCCGTTCTTTCTCCTGCACGTCGAGCCGGATCCCCGGTTACCAGTTAGGTTCCGCGACTACATTATTACAATGGGGTATTTAATTATTCGTCGTGGTGCTCCGGAGGTTAAGACATAGGTGCTTCTCATACATGAGGTTGCCGGTTCGAAACCTACCAACGGCAAGCAGCAATGTGACTTTTTCCGACTTATACCTATGTACTTTCTAAGATAAGTTAGACACCACTGACAAACAGTGAAGGAAAAACATCGTAAGGAAACCTGAACTTATAATCTAATTATAAGTTTGAAATTGCCAACCGGTCTTGAGCAAGCATGATGATTGATGATTAATGCTCAAACCTTCTCCGTGTGATAGAGGCTTTTGGTCAGCAGTAGGCGCTTATAGGCTATTGATGTGATATGTTTTAATTATTGAAGTTCTTGATAGTTGATGACTAGATGTTAGTAGACTTCATGTTATGGGCATTGTTTACCTGTCTCACTAGATAAATATACATGAACATTTTTGATAAGTTTAACATCGCTTACGATTGCCACGGTTGATAAAAAAAATTATTTGCTGTTTCAGATAACCGCAGCTCGTTCCTGCCGGCGGCGTCGGTCCGCGCTGCAGCAGCGGCTGAAGAGCCTGTCGTCAGACACAGCCATCTTCGACGAAAAAGAAGTGATTTGCTGACCAAGCGAGGACTCTGTGCGATACGTGGAAATAGATCGTGTCACCACTGTGTGACCGCCTTCCCGCGCAGAGTCCAAACAATACTTAATTATTATGATAAAATTTTCGAAATGGTGGACAACCACTTCTAAAGGTAGCCACGTAGTAAAATATATTTGACCGATTCCTCTAAGTAGTGGGTCAATTGTTGGTTGATTGAGGGTATAGCATAATGAATTTGAATTGAAATTTTGTGAAAAACAAAATTGTAACTCATAGATAGAAAGTTGTACGAAAATAATGCGACCGATGTCTATGAGAAGAATAATGTAAATAAATGTGATTATTAATAAAGTAGATAATGTTAGTGCGAATATATTTGGACCAAGTGCTGTCGATCGGTGGCCAAGACTTGGCCAAACTTGGAGTTGGGTCGTTGATATAAATAAGTTGGTTTTTGAGATAGTAACCGACTTACAGATGATGAATCGGAAAGTTGAATAGACTAGATATTTCTTAGCTACTTTTGAAATTTAAGATAATACCTACAAGTTGTGTTATTGTAGTATCCTCAGCCTGTACTTTGGTCGTATTGATGCAATAGAGATGATGACAGGGTATGAAAATTAAAAATCTAAATCTAAAATCCGTCAGTTAGGTAATGAAAAAAATATTAGACACGTATTTTTTTATTTTGATATATAATAAAATGATACTTAGATAAAACGAATCAAAGTTTAGGAATGGGGTCTAAAATGTCATTTCTACGTATAAAATGTACATAGAAGTGACGTCACCGACATTTCAAATTAACTCGTCGAGTACCGGTTTTGTAGACACAATTATAGAACAATAGGTTGCGGTCACCGGTGACCGCTTGGTGTTTGACAGTTTAATATATCGTCTAAAGTATTCGTTTCTGTAAGAAAATAAAAAATACGTGTGTAATGTTTTAAAATAATCTACCAGACGGACATTAAAATAAAAATTAGGTAGTCATCTACCCTATTGACCTCAATATTTTTGAAATAATGAATTATTTTTTATACCACACCATTAGCAATTATTATGACGGTTTTCTATTCAATATCCCTCAGTAATTAAAATTGTTTCAACGGACACATTAATTCATTTTCTTCCCTCGACATTAATGTTTATGCTCATTGCGTGACCTACCTAAGTATGTACGACGATTGTTTCCGACCACAGAAAGTATCAAGAATGCAAGGTTGCCACTTATGTGTTCAATTGAAAAAAAAAATAAGATAAATTGTTGTGAATTATATTTAAAACCCAGTATATCTTGACACGTGGTGAAATCGAGAACTAATGATTCTATAGTGTATGATAAAATGGGCGCAGTCTTAAGTGTCAAGATATAGTGGTTTTAATATGCAGAAAAACGCACAAGCAATTGTAAGATGACCGATCGAACGAAGCACAATTTTGATTTCAGTTATCGATTGGCATTTTGTAAATATTTGTAGTGTCTCTTAATCAAGGTTTGTTAAATCGTTATTTAGGTATATTGGAGTCTAATACAAAAATGATACACGAACACTAAATTGATTACAACGCTTGGTGTTAGAAAAATAAATAAAATAGAGCTGTTTATAAGTTAATCGAGTGAAATCGATTAATTTGGACAATCGGAATGTTGCAAATGGTGTTATAAAAAATTTAATTCCTTTTTTGTTTAGCAATTGCTTGCAATGTTTTATAGACAGCTCTATTTTAAACCAACGTTGTTTAAATGTGTGTATAAAAGTAGTTAAGTAGAAATATTAAATTAAAAGTAATATATAATAATAATAATAACGTTCGTGTATCATTTTCGTAGTAAAGATCGTGTTAAATAAATTCGCGGCAATAATTTCTAATAATTTATTAATTGAAGGAATCGAATAAACGGTGACCTGAAGGCTTAGTACGAGTTTTTTTTACGGTTTAAAGTATTCGAAGCGAGTACGCGTTCGGCACACTGATTGGCCGGCACCAATGAAGCAACCAATCAGAGCGCCGAATGCGTACTCGTTACGATTACTTTAAACGTAAAACAAACTCGTACTAAGGCCTCTATATTCTAAACGTTACTCTAAATTCGTATACGTGATATAAAACTGCCATTTTGATAAGAATATTCATGTTCAATTATGTAATAAAAATTAGCAAAATGTTATAGATTAATGGATATTTCTTTAATTTTTTCTATTATTTTAGACCATTTTTTGGCATTCTTGTTGCGTTTGCCGCCCAACAGATGACATTAAAAACTAACAATAAACAAATCTTTATCAGAAGCTTTATGAAATAACGGAGAAATTATATTAAACAATATTCCTATTTAAAAAACATTCGAAGAATTTTAATATTGTAGAGACATCAGAAATAATGGTATCTATATATCCTAATTGAATAAAAAGCGATGTAAATAAAATCTATAAAAAAACTATTCATATCTTAGAAATGTATTGAAGTGATATAATATGTTTGTTTCCCAAGGAAATTACTAAAGTTTATTATATCGCGTTAACTATTAGTGAAAAATCTAGGTAATTTAATAATTTGAACAGAATAATAACAAAAATGTTTATTTATCAGAGAGAATCTACCTATATTATTTGTTTATTTGAGATAAATAAAATACTGATATTTATAGACAAAATTATTCTAAATTGATTTTAATTCAAATATTTAATAATACTGTAGTAATTAAAGATGGCAGCTCAATAATTATTATCTATGGAATTTCGCGCCTTTTTATGACGTTTAACAAGATGGCGGCAGTTGGCGCACTAAGTCGTTAGAAATTAGGTAAATATCGCTGTCAATAAGTAATACTATTGTTTTTATGATATGTTTTTATGATAATAATGACGTTTCATAATTTATATTTAGATAATTGTAATTTTAAGGATTTATTAGACAAAATGGAGTAGAACGTTTGTATCGTCTTCCATAATGTAAATGAGAACTCCGGTTTTCTTTTCCTCCAATACGTTACGCCATATCAGATACGATAATTGAATACGGATAATAATTAAACAGAATCAGGTGTTATCCTGGAAGACAATAATGATGGATAATAGCTGTAATAAGCAGAGTTACATAATTTCACGTTCAAAACAATGATTACGAAGAGTTATGATGATAATAAGAGGTTTTTAAAAATAAAAGTATTTACTGCATGACTTTTGAGTTTTATTTGGACGTTCCAAACATTACTGCTTTATAAATCTGAACGTTTATCGATTCAGGTTCATAAATGAAATGATATAGATTTCTAATCTGTATCATTTCATTAATGAATTTATGAAATTAAATGTTATAGATTATAATAATTGCACTTCTGTTTTGGCAAGATTGCACCTTGCACCTAGCTTGGCAAGGAAAGTGCAAGTATTATTACTGTATTGATAACTTTCTGTCTTGGTTAAGAATGGTGTAGGACCACTTATAGCAAGTTGTAATTGCGAAATAACCATTACTTAATAAGTAGGTAATATTGTCTGGTTTAACATTTTAATTCATGATTTATAAAGTGAATAAATATAAGTCAAAAAAGTGCAATTAATTACATACAAATTTAAATCAAATAAATATATACAAATTAAAATATAAATAACTAAAAACTAAAATATTTACACCTTCAAAAAAGGAATAATAATAAAATTGTTATCCTATGGCATCAAAAAAAAATTAATGGTAGATACTACATACCATTATTTAATTTTATTTAATAGACTGAATAATTGACATTAATTTTCTAAGGTAATTTAATTTGAATTGTTTTAATAAACACGTTAAATAACTTCCTTCCCTATTGATTGTTATTGTAGGTATGACACAAGCTCCACAGATTATATTTGTTTTCGATCACACCAAACATTATCAAAGTAGGTTTACTTAAGTATTGGTAACCTTGAAAACCTATTCACGGTTACCATTTATTTACTTCTATTTCACATAAATTTTAAGTTCCTGTTATTCAAACTGACGGATATAATTTTTGATTAATTTATGAATCAAGAAATATAAAAACAAAACATCGTAATTACTGGTCTTTCCTCAAATAACGTGTCAACCTTAGAAGATCAAGATTTATGGATATTATTGGTACTTTTGCGAGTAAATGAAACGTAGGTACACCTCTAAAATGAAATTATCCACATAAAGGAGGAACATAACATCACAACTTTTATCCCCGAAAGGGTTTACAAAACAAATTACGGCACTTAATGCCACTGTACAATGTAACACCCACTTTTCACTATTTATGTTATGAGTCCCTTGTAATAGGGGGTGAGTCTATTGTCATATACCGTGCACAATTATTCTAGAGTCGAGAGAACTATTGAGAATTTTTTTTAAAACCCACTTTGGCCGTTCCGGGTGTCGAACCCGAAACCCCTTGCCCCGGCAGTCACACTTGCGACCACTCGGCCAACGAGGCAGTCAATAAGAAGGAAGTAAGTCTATAAAATCAACATGATGTTTACTAATAAATGTTATGTAAGTATTTTTGTTTAAACTTGAATTTTTAGTATTTTTAATTTTAATATTCATACAAACTGTATAAACATAAGCGACTACACCTTGACCAAGTTTGTGGACTTCAAAGACAATTTGATGGTCAATTATCACATTTTTTGCATAATTGAATGCTATTTAGCACAGTCGCGGTAGCAAGAAACAACGCGAATCAACGAGGTCATAATGAGCTTACTTAATGACTAAGAAAAGATTGGAGACGAAACTAGTCGACGAATCCCGATTTTGGTATAATAAGATCTTTTTCAATTATCAAACTAATATTACTAATCATTACTTACGATACATAATCATTAATTGAAATTAAAAAGTAACAATAAAACAAGACATAGGTATTATCATTATGTGTAAATATTTATTGGGAAGGAAAATAGATATTTTATTTTCATGATAGTCTAGTTGTTTCTCATGAAATATTATAAAGCCAAGGATAAAGCTAGGGGACAAATGTCCCAAGATATGGTATCGGCAACATGTCGAGCGGAACCGGCCGATGTCGCCTGACATATACGGCGACAACGCACGACCTATCCGATCCACAGCAACGTTGATGTTGCCAGACATGTCGACCAAAGTCTGGCAACGTCGTCGCGCTACTTCACCCAATGTCACTGGCGACACGTGTCGCAAGCCATTTGTCTCCTAGTGTATTATTGGCTTCATCATCTCATCATCTCAAGCGTTTTTCAACCAATTTGGTGTAGGCCTCCTTCAAATCTTTCCACTTATACTCGGAATTTTAATTCGATTCCAGATTTGACAATTTCAGTGTTGCAACGTTATGACAAGTACTAAATAGTGACGTTGCGAAATTATTCGATATGGAAATGCAATATTTCTGAATCGATTCTTCTCGTTTATAATTTTACTCTCGTAAACTAAGTATATCAGGAAATTAAATATTTCTGAACCGATAATTTAGTTTTGACGATTAATTAACGATCTGAGACTTTTCCTTTATAATTGTGTGTGAAATAAATAAAAAAATGTAATCATGAAGGAACACGACAAATAAAACAGATAGATATATTATGGTAATAATTTATTTTATAAATTGTCGCCGTGATCGCTATCGCTATCCTGTCACTTTCTGTAACATTTATTATAAAACACACACACTGATTGTTTATCGATTTTTGTGTTCATCACTACACTATTATATGTGGTATCATTATTTCACAAAATGACAGTAGCTATTGTCAAATCTGGAATCTAATTAAAATTCTGACTTATAGTTCTGTTTTGGGCTGTTAGTATCCAATTTTGTCCCGCCACCTCTTTGATGTCATTTTTCCATCTCATCTGCAGTTTGCCAACAGGTCGTCTGTGTTCCCACGGTCTCCACTCCAGTAGATCCTTGCACCACGAGTTGTGTTTGCGAGCTGCATGTCCCGCCCATTGCCACTTCAGCTTGGCTTCATTATTGGCTTAACTCGTCGAGTACCGGTTTTGTAGACACAATTATAGAACAATAGGTTGCGGTCACCGGTGACCGCTTGGTGTTTGACAGTTTAAAATAACAATAATTATTCTTACATCTCTATAATAAATTGATTAAATTGTAGTCATCATTTGGTCCAGGTTTCACATAAAAATTTTAGACTTTGTTTAGGTAGTAAGATTTATTTTGTAATCTGGTTTTTTACACCAAATATACATTTTATTTATTATATTTATTATTTATATCATATAAACTGTTATTAGGGTTTTAGCTAAATACTCCTTGGCTCATTATCTCGTATCCTTTGGAAACGTTGTCGGTGATATCTTCAGCAGGCCTGTCTGAAGTGATCAGCCAGGTACTGGCGCTTGCTCCATGTTTGTAAGCATGGACCAGACCGTCCACTGCCGATTGTATCCTGAAATAATTGAGAAATGTAAGTAAGTTCCAGTACCTACTATTGGTGTGCTATTATGAAGAAGCCTTTGTCCAGCAGTTGGTGGACAAAAGATGACGATGATGACGATGGAAGTCGAATATATAAGTAGCATAAACTGCACTTCATTTACATTACCGCTGAGTTCGGTACAGAGGCCTTAGTACGAATACGAGACTGCATTCGGCGCTCTGATTGGTTGGTTTCTTGGAGCCGGCCAATTAGAGCGCCGAACGCTTACTCGTTTTAATTACTTACGTAAAACAAACTGGTACTAAGGCCTCTGATAAGGACCGTAAAGCCCGTAGAACAGATTTATTTCTATGCAGGCATTGTATTGTAACCTACCTAGAATAGTTAAATAATAAGCTTATACCTATTAAGTATAACTATGTGAACAAAATGGAAATAGATATATTTGTTTGTTTGTAAGGATAATTCGTAAGTGTAGCAATAGCTTACAATGCAATGAAAATATGTTTTCAAGTTGATTAAAGACGAAACAACAAACTAAGAGGAATATAACGATGTTAAATTATTATGTTTTTATCAATCCGGTGTTTTTGTTAAGTCTCGCTAAAAAAATATAATAACAGACAATACAAAAACATCACGGATGTGAATAAACCAGTTTTGTTATTATTTTCAAGAAGTTTAGGGTCATCATTTGTGCTATTTTCCTACAAAACTTGAACTATGTCGGTCAACAGATTGGAGTATCTATGTTTTTCAAACAAATAGAGTTCTATTATGTTATGTTTGAACAACATTTAAACATAACATAATAGTTATGTTATGTTTGGTATGGCGTGATGTTAATTACGCCGTACCATCCCCACAGGAGTAGGCAGAGGGGCACATTACGGCACTTAATGCCACTGTACAAAGTAACACCCATTTTGCACTATTTATGTTATGAATCCCTTGTAAAAGGGGGTGAGCCTATTACTATATACCGGGCACAATTCCATATTCCATGTCACTACTGAGTTTTTTTTTAAATCCGACCCGGGCACTTGCGACCTCTCGGCCTACGAGGCAGTCAAAATGTTTCATTGATTTAGTTTATTTGGTAAAAGCCATGATATATTATTTATTGATATAATTTATTGACGATTAAAATAATTATTTCAGAATACTAATTAAGTAAATAAATTATCCTCAACAGGTTTTGACAAAGAATCCATTTTATCCAGACTACTTACGTTTGCATCGGTAAAACTCCTAGGCTCTTGAAGAGTAGTTCATCAGTTTCCTTATCGAAACCTCCCATTTTTGAGGCGCTAAATAAACTTGTATCCGTGCACCCAAAACATATCGTGAGTACTCGAACTCGAGATCGTGTGAAATGTGGCTCTTTCTGAAATTGAAAACGTAACTAGGTAAACTTAAAGTAGGAAATACCTTGGCATATTTTTTCTTATCTTTTTTAAAAAGGATTGCCCCACACTAAGATTTTCTCCTGTGTCGTGGGTGCGTTTATAATCAAACGAATTCACATACATATGACACCCAGACCCGGACCAACAATCTGTGGATCACACAAACAGTTGTTCCGTGCGGGAATCGAACCTGCGATACGTTGCACGGCAAACACCACGCCAACTGTGCAGTCCTTTTATATTGCAGTCATGTTATATTTTCTTTGTCACCATGAGGTGGAATGAACATGGAACATGGTGGTGGAACCTGGCAAATACTAACGTGACTTTTTCCGAGTTTGTCAGTGCTTGACACCAGTGAAAGCGAGGGAACCTGGGCTGATTCTTAATTATAAGTCGGAAATGCCCAACCGGCATTGCAATCGTGGTGATTAATTCTCAGTGTAAGAACAGATCTTTGCTTAACAGTAGACACTTATATGCTGTTGTTGTTGTTATTGTGAATGATATTTTAAAAGAAAAGAATCTGTGATTTATTAATTTTTTTAAGGGGGGTAAATCATCGAATGACTGACTAAAAACTTAGACTCTTACTGACTAAAAACCACCCCGTTCGTACTCCTGCACTTCGAGCCAGAGCCCCGGTAACCCGTTAGGTTCTCCGCGGCTCCGTATCGGCATCAGCCCTATTGGGCCACATCCGTAAGAAACTGTGATAGGATGACGTCTGATAGTGGCTAATTGAAGAAAGTACACAAACAAAAACTCAAAACTTACTCCAAGACAATTGCTGAACTGCAACACTGCACTCTTTGTAGCAGTATACACCGGGAGAAGGTGTGCTTGAAACAATCCCACAATCGAAGAAATATTTATGATCGTTCCACCTTTACCACCCTGGTCTTCACGCATTAAGTCGAATGCTTTGAGAGAACTTTTTATTAAGGCAGTCTGAAAAAAAGAGTATTCCAATTTATAGGTAGTGAAAAGTAGGTGTTACATTGTACAGTGGAATTAAAAAAGACTGCACGGTTGGTGCGGTGGCTGGGCAACCGGCTGCCGTGCAACGTGTCGTGGGTTCGATTCCCGCACGGAACAACACTTTGTGTGATCCACAAATTGTTGTTTCGGGTCTGGGTGTCATTGTGTATGTGAACTTGTATGTTTGTAAACGCACCCACGACACGGGAGAAAATCCTAGTGTGGGGCAACGTTCTTTTAAAGAAAAAAAAAAAAAAGCCCTAATGTGCGCCTCGGCCTAGCCCTTCAGGAATAAAAGATGCGAAGTTATATTTTTTAGTTATATATCCAATTTATAGGATGTTGATCAAAAACTTCTTAGCTAAAAAGATCATAAAAACAATATGTTAGCGTACTTACAATTATGATGAAATCAAAACAAAAACAGGAAAACGTTAAAGTAAAGGAAAAGTTTCTTTACTTCGTATGAATTCCGTCAAAAAGTGTCAATCACCTTAATAAATAAATTTTACCTGGTTCTGTTGTACTAATGCCCAGAATTTTGATTTGTCACGTACCTACGACAGCTCATTCACAAATGTTGGCAGTAGCTGACCAGACATGGTGACCTAATCCAGTCCGAATTTTTCTCAGAATGAAAACCGATCCTTTCCTGTTTATCATTACTCATAAATGGATTCAAATATTTGTAATGAAAACTAATAACTATTATCAGATATAATAAACTATAAAATATACGGATTACTATCGTGAACTATTTGAGAAAAGCTCAACTAATTTCAAGTCAAGCGGGGACTCTTATTCATACTCTTATACTTCAATTAAAATAATATTGTGTACGAAATACTTACCACATTAATATCAATCTCTTTTAAATACGCATTAGGTCTGTCATTCATAATGCCAGCACAATTAATGACAACATCAATATATTCGAAGTCATTAAGTACTTTATCATAGACTGCATCTAAGTCACTTGATGTGACATCACATTTGTAGAACTTTATTTTGTTGTTCCCATACTTCTCTGCCAGTTCTTCCTCCAAAGGTCTGCCATTATTTATGTCGACGTCTAGTGCTGCAACATGCTGGAAAAAAGGAGGAGGTTCGCAGTCTGACCTGTACCTCTAGATATGGATGTGTCTGTCCGCGATTATCTCGCAACTGGCTAAATCGATTTTAATTTGGTTCTCAAAAAAGTTTTAATTACACTTATGAGCAGATTTTAGTATATTATCAGACTTCAATTCTAGACATAAATCCCAATTTAGGTTTACGTTAGGACATAATAAAGTCCATATTTATTTAAATAAGTCATGTTCCCCCACGAAGAAAGTAGATATCGAAGAAAAAAAACTTTATTCTATTTATGAAAAGGAACGGTATAGACACTATACTCATTTAAGGGCCAGACTTACTTAAGACGCAGATGCTGAACTGGTCCCATTTCGTCGCAGACTTGGGACCTTGTACCCAAGGACTCAACATTTATGTTTAAAAGTTTATATTCTGTACATGTCACTTGTAATTAACGTGTGAAATAAATGTTTTTTATTTATTTATATACTTTATTGCACACAAAGAAAAAATATTCTAAACATTGTTTTTTTTTATGGCATAATATATGACATTCCTTTCTTTCTTCAAACTCAAACTCAAAAGCATTTATTTTAATTAAATCATAATTTTGTACTTTTAAAACGTCAATGAATTTAAAATAAATAATAGTCTTTCAGTCTGTCCGTAAGTGAAGCTAGGTGCTCGTTCCAAATAGTAGATCTTCTTTCTACATTAATTTATTAATACAATAAGAATAGTTATTGTTAATTTACTCACTTTGGCTCCTTCTTCCAAAAACGCCTTTACAATCGCGGCACCAATGCCCGCTGCAGCACCGGTGACGAAAAATACCTTATCTCTCACTTCAGACATTCTCTGGATTTAACGATATTCCAATTTAACGATACACGATCACAGAATATCACGATAACGTGACTATGCTGCAGTCAACCCAGTGAATACTGTGAAGAGCAAACGTTTTATCAGAAATTGTATAATCGTAAAACAATGCTCATTTAAATATGTATGGTATTAACAAAACAATCATTGAATGGAAAATTTCAATGTGTTGATACTTGTTTATTTAGTTGCATAAGTGCCAATTACATTTAATGATCTTAGTGATAGTGATAACTGTATAGTTAATACTCTTGAAGAACATACAAATAAAATAGAACACAAATATTACCACAACACATTAAAGCAATAATTTTTAACCGTAATCTACTTACTAAGGCACTACATATGTAATTAAGACACACAATCCTATGAAACTGAGTCAAATATTATTCTAATTAATTTAAATTGTTAATTATTTTGCACAAAAGTCACCCGTATCACACCGCGTCAAGAGTTATTCTGAATCAAAACAAAATTGTGGTGTAGTTGTTACCTAATACAGACGATATAATACATCGAGAACACATTTAAAAGTTAGAGCTACTTCATACAAAACTTCACAAATCGTTGCGAATTGTCCTCCGTCTATTTCTATGCAATGTAATGCACAGGTATGTTCAAACGTAATAATATTATGAATAGCAGTTACTAAAATATGCTAAATGGAATGTAAATAAGTCTGCCTCGTTGGCCGAGTGGTCGTAAGTGCGGCTGCCGGGCAAGGGGTCTCGGGTTCGATTCCTGGGATTCAAAGCATTACTGGGTTTTTAATAAAATCGCAGTAGTAGCACGGAGTCTGTAATTGTGCTCGGTACATGGCAATAGGCTCACCCCCTATTACGTGGGACTTATAACATAAATGGTGAAAAGTAGGTGTTACTTCTATGTGCACCTCTGCCTACCCCTTCGGGGATAAAAGGCGTGATGTTATGTTTAGAATGTACATAATTGTAAAGACAGTATACATTATTTGTCATTATTCCGATTGTCTATACTTCTATACCATTCGCTGGTATGATCAGAAATAAAACATGCCGTATGTTTCCCTCTCTGTCTCTTTATATAAATCCCGATCAACGGTTAATTAAAATTAAATGTTTAGAATATTTTTATTAAATACACGTTTCATTTTTTACTTTGTTCCTATACAACAAAACATCACACCGTTTATCCCCGAAGGAGTACATTACGGCACCTCTATTTTGATGTCGGGGCGAAACCTTCAATAGGCGCCTAGCTTTTTCGGGAGAAAGACTGGACTGGACTGGAGTGTGGCATTCTTAATTCTTACCTCACTAAATCTACCCCGGTGGCTACCCTCAGCACCTGTAAGGGGCACCGGGTCTTCTGAAGAGACCTGCTCCAGAACATTACGGCAACCACAGAGCATATAAAGGAGACGGCAACTAATGGCACTGTACAATGTAACACCCACTTTTTACTATTTATGATCGAATTTGAATAAAAAAAATCGTCCAGTTTATATAATACCGTGTGAAGTTGTCTTTACACGTCGATCTTTTAATTCAAGGTAGCACTACGTAAAGCAGAGTCAAAGGCACCTACAACTACGAGGCTATTCGAAGCTAACATATTATTTTTATTTATGTAGGTAACATTATATCGGCACATAGTTGAAGGGCAAAATGATTTAGATACTACCTAAAGTAAGAAAAATAACCAAGTCTACTTACAAGGAGAATTTATTTTGTTAAGTCATTTCAAGTAATAAATTGTGTACTCGACTACTTATGATAGTCAATTTATTTACCTATTATTTATTATTCGTCCCTTTATACAGCGTGATTTGTAACTCGACGTATTCCTCTCCGGAGGTGATAATACAACTAATATCCTACAAAGTTAGCCCTGAGGTCCGAAAGTGGCTAGTTACTAAGATATTCAATATTTTCGGTTTTGGTGAAAAAATTCCAATCGATCTACAAAAACATTAATAAATAAAAAAAAAACTGCTAGTTTTATTTAAGTGATTTTAGTTTTAATTTGTTGTCAATACACCAATAAACATTTATTAATACCAATGCTGGCAAAAATATCATTCGTTTTAAAATTGTAAGTAAATTAGTATCAAATTTTGTTTTGTGTCACTAATTTAGTCAATAGAAAACTGCATTTAGCTTAAAAAAATATTTTTATTCTTGACTAGCTGACCCGGCAAACTTCGTACCACCTAAAAGTTTTTTCTCACCTTTTAAACCTTCCCTAGACTTCCCCGAACCTGTCAAGACCAAAATCAGCCGAATCAGTTCAGCCGTTCTCGAGCTTTAGCGTGACTAAAGAACAGAAATTCATTTATATTTATATAGATTAATAGTATATATAAAAACATTTAAAAACATAAAAAGCAGTTGTTCACCCGTAACGGGAGAAATCCAACCTACCAGTGGTCAGGGCTCCAGAGAGAGGAATCTCCGGACAATACGCGCCGTGTTCAGAAGTATTGCTTTCTGCATCAGGCGCTTGACCATCTAACGCTATCCTACTCAGGTGCTGGTATCATTAATAGTATTGTTTTATTTAATAATATTGTAAGTTTAAGTCGGTATATGCAGCGTTTGCCTTTTTTTGAGGTGCGAAAATCATCCAATGACTTCTCCCGCCCGGGTGAGGCGAGAGGGAGTGTCAGACTCTTACTGACTAAAAACCACCCCGTTCCTACTCCGTGCAACGTTTGCCTACGTTATTGATTACAGCAGTGGACTCACAAGGAAAGTCAATGAAGATACTGGTTAACATAGAAGTAGCAGTTGGACTCTAATACAACTGAGCTTATACCTGGTATACTTATTTACAGTTATTTTTTGAGTAATCCAATGGAGCAAAAATTTTATATGAATGAAAGCGATACATAAATATACTTATGCATTCAATAATGCGTGAGGTTAAAACTAAATCAAGTTGACCTTCACCTAGATTTAAAGTTAAATAAAATTCCATTCGTAGCAATTTACATAAGACAACATACATCTGTTTTGCAGGGATTGGCAGAGCCATAATTATGCATGAGAACCTTGAACCGCTTCTACATTAATAAATACTATAATTTATTCAGTAAATTATGCTAAAAATAGTTGTTCAAAACAAACTCATAGGTGACAAAAAAAACTGTAGTAAAAATACTGTGACGCCTTTTTATCCCTGAAGATATACTTTTCATCAGCTGTTCTGTCAATTGCTCCGTGTAATGATTAGTTAATTGTCATGTGCCTGGCACACTTTTAGATACCAGTCTACAACTAACTTTTGAACAAAATAAAAGACTGGTCAATTCTAAGTCAATGTAAAGTCAAAGTCAAGTCAAAGTGAAGTCAAGTCAAGTCAAGTCAAAGTCAGGTCAAAGTCAAGTCAAATCAAAGTCAAATCAAAGTGAAGTCAAGTCAAAATCAAGTCAAAGTCAAGTTAAAGTCAAAGCATTTATGGCAATTAAACCATAATTTGGACCTTTGAAACGTCAACAAATACAAAATAAATAATAGTCTGTCAGTCAGTCCGTCAGTGAAGCTAGGTGAAGCTAGTTGCTTATTCCAAAATGTAGATTCGAATGGAGAAGAACGAGCAAGAAACTCCATTCGTTACTCTTTTTAAAAAAGTATGTTCTACAATGTCTCTGATACATATTTCAATACTGTACGCATATGTAAGAACAATGCAAAGACACGTTTGACGTATTATACTAATTACTTACTAAAATAAAAAAATAAAAATCTTATTGTCGAACATAGTGCTCACATATGCATACTGATAATCTATAGAAATAGTGCTTCTATACAAGAAAAAGGAAACTCTTTGTTTCAATAAAGAAAGAAATGCTCGATGTTATACGGCAACTAGATTGTCTACATTAGAATTAAATTATTATGTGTTAAATTACCTACTATTGGAATTTAACTACTGACACCATTTGAGTATTTGTCCAGTGGAGCCAAACCAATATGCTGCCAAACATTATTATCTTCAAGATAATCTGTAAGTGTGTAATAAGCTTGATTACATAATTCGCGCTTAATATATGTTTTAAATTTACTTTCATTGAGATCTAGACTGAAATGACCACAGTGCTGACAAACCCAAGGCCAAGGCGACCAACTATTGAGTTGAGAGACTGCACAGGACCATTAAGTCCTGTGTGGTCAGTGCGGCTTGCGATGTTAATTATGTAATGTAATGTTACAGATCTGAGCATTACAATGCGCACCTTGTAATGATACAATGTGTAATATTTTGAGTGGTAACATCAATGCACTCCACTTCCCCCAGCCACTCGCCCGCCCGCTCAGTAACCTACGTGACAATGAAGTGAACGCACATTGTCATATAGTGTTTTAGATGCTTTGGAGATGTTGTACGTAAATAACAATGTCGAAATAATATTGCCACACTCAGCACAGCGACCGCTTCGTCTGACATCTTGCTATGAAATGCATAAAGTCGAATCTATGTTACATTACACGCAAATACTCGTTAGCTAGGGAGGTATTATTGTAATGTAATGCTCAAAGTCGAATCTATAATGTAACATTACACGTGAATGCTCCCGGTGGGGAAGCACCTTTAAAAATAGTCCAAAACTGCTTACGATTAAAAATAAATGTTATAAAAATAATGACAATACAAGACAAACTTAAAAAAGAAACAAATTGACCTTCTTTCTAGATACTCAGTCATGAAATGAACAAAACATCTAATTATATTAAACCTCCTGAATCTTTTTATAATATTTTTTTTCTACAACTGCATGTTTTTCCAAAAATACATACATCATCGTTTTAACTCCGTTTTTGGCCTTGGAATGTTAATGAGCGAATAAGAAAAAATACAATTGAAGTGTAAATCGTGTGGTCACACGGCAGTGTAGAATTGACCTTATTATTATCCCTGCTCTTACCGTTGGAATCGTAAGAGTCTATACAGGGACTATAATAATGTACATTTGACAGACACTGGGTAGCTACCCTGTCTGTCTCTGCACTCTAATAAATCAAAACTCGTCAACTTAAGACAGCAAGCGTGAAGATTGTTACCCGAGCGTACGGCGCGTCGCGTTCCGCGCGCGCCTCAAAGAGCCATCAGACCACCACAGATGGGGCCCAATAGGGCCGATGCCGATTCGAACTCGCAGAGAACCTGACGGGTAACCGTAACCTCCGGCTCTACGTGCAGGAGAAGGAACGGGGTGGTTTTTAGTCAGTAAGAGTCTGACCCTCCCTCCCGCCTCACCCTGGCGGGAGCAGTCATTCGATGATTTTCCCCCTTAAAAAAAAAAAATAGCATGAAGATTGTACCAAACCCTCTTATGTATAGGAGACTCATAGTCCAGCAAGGAACTTTCATGACCTATTGATGATGTTCATGTGTACAAATTGTCAATCGTTAAGGTCATCGAATAGTTCATGTCCACTACCACACCCAATCCAGCTTTAGAAATACTATACAATTACTTCACGGCAAATGCAATCTAATTTTTGATAAGCTACTTTATTAGAAGCCATCTTGGTCCAAGAATGCAAAACTATACAGTTTGATTGAGCCAATTTATCAAAATCTTTATTAATATCAAGCGTTAAAATATCACACAATGAAATAGAGAACACAGCAAATAAGGGTATTAAACATAAACTGATTTCAATAATAATTTCTACTAATCGATTTTTCTAATGATCGCTTCCATTTCCTCATCAGCCTTGTTCAGCTCCGCAGTGATCTCCTGGGCTGGTCGGTCTGCTCGTACCAGCCAAATGGAAGCTGGTCCTCCCTTCTGGTACATTTCAACCATACCACGGGCAACTGATTTAGCACTGGAATCAAATACAATTTATTTTGTTACGTTTTTTAACTCCCTTGTAGGGTTAGTTAGGTATGGTCAGTATGCCTGTCATTACAAAGTTTTAAACCCAAGGATACACTAGAGGACAATTTATTAATGCCCCACGACAAGTATCGGTGATATGTCAAGCGAAGAAGGCCGATTTCGCCTGACACATTTTACTATCATGGTCCATTGTTTGTCTCATATCTTTGGCATTAGTCGAGGTATGCTGAAGTTGTATACTTCATATGAAAGCTTGAGAAATGGTAGATATTTTTTGTAAAAAGTGCACACTATTCGTGATAGTATTCTTTTATGTTAGAGAAGCCTATTTCTGAGGAAAACTTAAAAAAATTCAATATTCTATGAATTTGAGATTACTGTGTCTTAAATAGTATTATTATTGTGTATTTGATTAATAAAACTTGTAAATAAAGTAAGAAAATTAAAAAAGAAAATTAGATCAAGTGCGTTTCTTTTTTAACGGACTTCCCAAAAAGGAGGAGGTTATCAATTTGGCTGTATGTTTTTTGCTTTTTTAGTTTTAGATTTACCGCGGACGTCATTTTGAACAGTAAAAGTTTCAATATTTTAATAACCGTTCATTTCCGCCTATCCCTTTGTTCGACAAAAACATTGGAAATGATCTGTTCTATAACCCCATACGAGATTATGGTCGAATTACAAATCACCCTGTATATGGCGACAAAGCGCGACTTATGTCCACAGCGATGTCGATGTTGCTAGACATGTCGACCAAAGTCGCCCACCGGCGCGTTACTTCACTCAACGTCGCTGGCGACACGTATCACAGGACATTTTGTCCCCTAGTGTACCCTTGGCTCAAGTTAAACTCTTTTGTCGAACAAAGCATTATTTGGCTTTTCGATTTTAGTACTTCCAGGAAGTCAAAAGATTTAAGACTGAGTTTGTGCCAAGCTTTACTATTATGCAAATTACCGAAGGTATCCAAATTAATCTTGATACAAATATAACAGTTTCGAATTACAAAGACGACATTTATTTAAATAATTATGTTGCAATAAATGTTTTTAATTACACATGGACCCTGCCCACCTTTGCATCGGATGTCCTGACAATATTTTTTCCGCTTCCACATTCATTTCCTTAGTGAAGCATGTAAGTTTTTGTAATATAGCTGTTTCTGTGACACCAACGCACACAGCCATGACTCTCACATCAGTATTCTCACAGGGAAAGCGCTGTAAATATTAAGAAATAAAATTATTATCGGCCGTATTGAAGCTTATTGCTCTGAAATAAAAAAAAACTCGTGTTTTATCATCATGGGATCGTGCTACTAATCCAGCTAATTAACCATAATGCTATCTAACAAAACAGATGTTACGTAAGAACAGATATGGAACCGAGCATGCAGTTAATACCATAGAAAATTATTACTAACTAGCTTCTGCCAGCGGCCAGCCAACCAGCCTTCTCAGGGGTAAAAAGTATACTATGTTTTTTTTATGGCATAAGCCGGTAAACGAGCAGACGGATCACCTGATGGTAACCAATTGGCGCCGCCCATGGACACCTGGAACACTAGAGGCGTTACAAGTGCGTTACCGACGTTTTTGGGGATTAGGAGTTTGAGGTTCGTTGGCGATTCAAAAATTGGGGAGATGCTGTGTTGTGTTGTGATGTGTTAGTCCAGATCACTATTTACCTCTATCCTAAATTTCATCCTGGCCCCTTCAGCCGTTTTGGTGCGACTGAGTAACGAACATACAGACAAACTCACATATTTTCACATTTACAATATCGGTTCAAACTAATTTCAGTTTGCTTTTTTGTGTATGTACTTTTTCGGGACAAAAATTACCTAGCTGTCTATCTAGTAACACGCCCAACTATTTATATTTTATATTTTCAATGTACAGAATTTACACTATAGTTTTATTATATGTGTAGGTAGATATAGATCATGTACTTACTCCAACACAAGTTGTAAACTGCAAGACAGCGCGCTTTGACGTCGAGTAGGTAAACATAGGCGAGACCTGAATCAGTCCACCGATTGAGGACACATTAATGATAGTACCTCCTCTTCCTCCCTTATCTTTACGCATCAGCTCAATAGCTTTGAGAGTCCCGTTTATTAATGCTGTCTGAAATGAGAATGATTTAATGTATGTATCTTGATGAGTTTAATCAATCGGCGCAGTTCCATATTATTCTACATAATTTGGGTTCCATGAAGAATTTATCAGTCGGTATTTTTTATTGTCCTTAGGAAAGCGGTTGATAGTCAAATTGCTCAAGTTAGTGGCGCCACCGTCACCGTTCGTTTCTACTCCGTGTACAAAAATATTTCAAAAATAGTTATTGCATCAATTTCGATTAAATAATAGTGTTAACGTGTACATCAACAAGCAGTAAAGTAGTGTGATTGTGGACAGCAAACAGATTTCCATAAAAATCTAAATATTTCAAATAAACAAAGTGTCTTTGTGAAAAAATTTTAGAATCATAAAAACAAACATATAACTTCTAACAAGTGATCTTCCATGCCGACAATAGTGTTTTTGTAACAATGAATAGTGAAATAGTGCCTAAAGTATAATAAAATTGAAATAACAAAAGTGTTATAAATATAAAAACCAGTTATTCAATTTTCGAAAATTTCAAACTACCGCGTCCTAACGTACAAAAAAAATTGGCAACCATAATAACAACTACTATTTCGTCAATTACGTTAATGTTCGAATAGCTTAATCGCTTTGAACGCTCCTTGAAAGTAAGGAGTCTCGAGTTCTAACCTCGGTGGCACATAGAACTCTTTTTGTGGATGTTTGTACTAATTTATTCAAACATAATTTCAAAAAACTATAATCCTGTGGTATATAGATAAATACAAGCAATAAAATGAATTTTCTAGAAAACATTACTTTTCGACGCAACCGGAATAGGGCTTGCTCAGAAACAGCGCTTAATGACAGCGATATAATCTCTGACACACTTGAGTCTACCGTCAATAGTATGCCGGAGTTATCTCAAGACGAAAATGAACAAATTAATTTATTAAAAACTAAGCTACTGGATTTAGAATCACAATTACAAAGTGCACACCACGAAATTGAATTATTGTCAGCAGAGAATTCTAAACTACGAAATACTAATGAGGATTTATTGAAGAAGAACGAAGTACTTAGGAAAATTACCAATAGTCCAGTTAAACAAAAATTCAATACACCCACAAAAAAATCTAAGAAACAGAATTTGGAAACTAAGCAAACACAAACATTGATAACCAATACTACTGATACAGAAGTTATATCTACAAAACCCACGATCAAAGCCTCAACGTTAGATATTAATAAGAATGAAACACCTATAGACATGCAAAAAAGTAAAATATGTATACTAAGCACTAACAACAAAAATAGAATACTGTCGACCGCTGAAGAACTTCTATTAGATAAATACAATATATGTCACTACATTACACCTAATGGATCTACAGAGCAACTTCTTATCGGGATACAAACAAAGCTTCATGATTATACAATGACTGACTACTGCATAGTATTAATTGGAGAAGAGGACTTCAAGATAACTAGCAACTATGACAGCAATATACTATTAATTCGTAAAATATTAAAACAAGTTAGTCACACAAACATAATAATTTGCTTTCCTACGTATAAACTTACCAATCATAACAATCTTTACAACTGGAGAATTGAGACATTTAATAATCTGTTATACTTAGACTTAATAAAGCACGAGCATGCATACTATTTAGATTCCAACTATGATTTAACGTTTGATCGTTCTATGTTTAACTTACGAACAGGTGTAATAAATAACAATGGCATTCGAAACATTTTCGAAAATATACTTTTGTTGATAAATTATATTAATTCCAATTTCAACCAAAAATGTAGACTAAGTAGTAATACTGCTATTGTAGACGATTGTAACTCTCTGTTTTTTCGATATTAAATTCCTAAAAATTCTACACCAAAACATTGCAGGTCTTATAAATAAATCTGATATATTATCCATTCATTTAAACGAGCTTAAAGATAATAATGTAGACATTGATGTACTATGTATTACCGAACATTTCATGTTAGCGGGTTATGAAAGCATTTTTAATATGAAAAACTATAAACTAGCTTCAACTTTCAGTCGTAGCCAGATCAAAAGAGGTGGAGCTTGCATAATTGTCAACAATATACATAAGTTTAGAGAACTTCCTCAAATAAGCAAATTATCTATTAATAATGTTATCGAATGTTGTGCTATTGAACTGATAGAATCTAGAATTGTTGTTGTCTGTTTGTATAGAGTACCCAAACATAATAATTTGAATTTATTCTTTCAAAGATTTGAAGAAATTCTAGTACACATTTCAAAAATTAAATCCAATAATACCATTATAGCCGGTGACTTTAACATTGATGTATTAAAGTGCAATAATGTAACTTTGGATTTTGAATGTTTATTGATGAATTACAATTTTAAACTAGCGCTGAGACAACCTACTAGAACATTAAGTAACACGTGTATAGATAATTTTGCTCACAATTTTCAGAAACAATGCGTAACTGATATACTAGAACTTGGAATGTCGGACCATACAGCACAAGTAATTGAGATCCCGGTCAAAAAAATGCTAAGATTAAAACATTGGTATAAAATCACGCGCGATTATAATTATGAGAATATACAAAAATTCAAAACGTGTATACAAAGCTTGTCCTTTAGTGAAATATACGAAACTGATGACCCAACATTAGCTTATAGTAACTTCATAGATACATTTAAATTATTTTTTGACTTATGTTTTCCGTTAAAAAAAGTTTTAATAAGAGTAAATAATAAACCTAAATGGTTGTCTCGTGGAATTAAAATATGTTCTAAAAAGAAAAAAGAAATGCTGTGGAATTTTAGGCGTAAACCCTCACTTCTAAACAAATTAAATTATAAAAACTATTCGAAAAAAATTAAAACAATTATAAACCTAACAAAACGGGCTCAAAATAATTATAAAATAAATACATCAACTAATAAAAGTAAATCAACATGGCAAGTAATTAACAATAACAAAACTTCAGTACCAAAAGAAACGATAGACAAAATAAAAATTAATAACACTATTATTCAAAACCCTACAGATATAGCGAACGCATTTAATAAATATTTTATTGAAAAAGTACAACCTACCGTTGGTACAAGTAAAGAATCTACGAAATTGATTAGCCACAACACAAACTCCATGTTCATGTCGCCTTGTCTACCGATTCAGATGTTAAGAATTATAAATAATTTAAGAAACACAAATAGTGTCGGTTATGACGGAATACCCACTAAAATAATTAAATCAGTAGATAAGAGTATTGCAGGCCATTTAAGCCATATCTTAAACCTGTGTATAGTAAAGGGTACGTTCCCAAAAAACTTAAAACTAACTATCATAAAACCCTTGCATAAAAAAGAGGATAAATTGTTAATGGAGAACTACCGACCAATAGCTCTTATACCTATATTCTCTAAAATATTTGAGAAATACTTGTACACAGAAATCAATAGTTATTTAGAAAAACATAAGATTCTATGTAATAATCAAAAGGGTTTCAGACAAGGAAATAATATTAACATGGCAGTTTATGACTTCTTGTACGATGTATACACTCATGTGGACAAGTCCTTGCCTGTCTGCTCAATATATTGCGATATGTCACAAGCTTTTGACTGCGTAGATCATAATATTTTAGTAGAAAAACTGTCAGCATACGGTATACGAGGTAATATATTGGAATTGATCAGGTCATATTTAACAGATCGTCAACAAATAACAGAAATAACAAAGTTCAATCCAACAACTAAAAGGGAACAGATATTTACATCTCATAAGCGTGACGTATCCTATGGCGTCCCTCAAGGTAGTGTATTAGGTCCCCTTTTGTTCTTATTATACATAAATGACCTACCTTCGGCCACAACAGAACCTATGGTCCTTTTCGCTGACGATAGCACCGTAACAATAAAATCTAAAGATCCAAATAACTACAATTTCGAAATAAATAATTCCTTGTCAAATATAATCGACTGGCTTAATAACAATAATTTAAAAATTAACCTCAAAAAAACCAGTATAATGCACTTTAGGCAGCGAGAAAACATAACTAATTCATTACCAGTTAATCTAATTTATAACGAGTATACTATACAAAAAGTAGACACAACTCGATTCTTGGGTTTAATTATTGATAGGCAACTCAGTTGGAAAAACCATATTGACGGACTAAGTAAAAAAGTTAGTAAGTCAGCATACGCCCTTTATAAACTGGCACCTACCGTTAACAAGGAAACTTTACTCACAGCATATTACGGCCTTGTCGAGTCGGTACTGAGGTTTGGGATAATCTTTTGGGGTAATTCCACTCACAAGGATATAGTCTTCAAACAACAAAAACGTTGCATAAGAGCTATGTTCGGAATAAAAAGTATGGACAGTTGTAGGCCGCTATTTATTGAATACAAAATTTTATCACTTCCGTCTTTATACATACTTGAAGTTGCATTGTTTGTTAGAAGTAACTTGCACTTGTTTCCGCGCTTATCCGAATATCATGTTAGAAATCGACGTAATAATAACATTTGCATTCATCCATCTAGAACTGCATTGTTGCACAAAAGCATATTATGTCTGGGTCCTAAAATTTATAATAAAATACCTAAATCCATACAAGCCTTAAATTTTAACATGTTTAAAAATAAACTCAAACGTTTGTTACATAAGAAATGTTATTATAATATAGAAGATTTTTTGAAAGATAAATTAGATTTGTAATACAATTATTATAATTTTATTGTACCTGTAACGGTTAATATTGTCTTCTGTCTTTTTTGCTTATTTAGTTTTGCATGTATATATTCTTTTCACTACCTGCTGTAATATTAAATTATAATTTTAAATATTTGTACGCCAAAACGGCATAACATGTAGCTCATACTCCGAACTTAACACCATTGCATGTACTCTTGTAATATTACTCATGTTAACGCAAATAAAAAATATCTTTATCTTTATCTTTATCTTTATGCTTTCATTTATTCAAAAAAGATAAAAATTATAAATAGGTACTACTATCTATGCTATTAATCTATAGGTACGATACAATATCGCTATCACAATCAAAAAATCGTTAATGTAGGATTGTGTTCTTCAAAACGTTTTCTTTTTTATTTCAATTTCACAAATTTTCTGTTAAGCAACATATTTAGCGATGTTCATTTACACTTACAATATTAATTTCAATCAGTTTCCGTATCTTGGCTAAATTACCTTCATCAGCCACTCCAGCGTTATTGACTAGAAGGTCTAAGTAACCATTATCCTTTTTAGCATCTTCTAAAGCTTTGAAGAACTGCTCATCGTTTGTGACGTCACATTTGACAAATTTTACTTTATTCTTTCCATATTTTTGTCTTAATTCATCTTGTAGAGCATTACCAGTCTTCTTGTCTATATCTAGTAGTCTTACGTGCTGTAGAAAATAAAAATTATCGAACATTTTTAGACTGGATAATATGCGGAGATCTTTGCTCAAGTATACTTAATTGAAGAAAATACTCGTATCTTTTGAATGTATTCGGATTCCCTTTTAATTGTACTGTACTGTATAGAAAAAGTTTCCGCTTGGTAGGTATCAGGCTGAAAACGTAATAGAAAGATTGTATTTCTTTCTTTTACTTACCACCGTAGAGTATTGACATAAAACCATTTCAATTAATTTCGTTGTAAGTGAAATTACTTGACATACCTAAGCAGGTCTCCCCTAAAGACTTTCCGATCACCGATGGAAGCAATCTACATCCAGATGCTCATTAAGACTTTTATTCGGTCGTTTTATTAGGAGAAGCCTACGGTCAGCAGTGAACATCTTGTGACTTAATACTAATAATTATGATGTTATCATCATCATCACCATCACCATCATCATCGTTATCGATGATACAGGGAAAGTGTATATTGACAAACAAGCGAAGCATTTAGATTGTTTTATGGTATAAGCCGGTAAACGAGCAGACGGATCACGTGATAGTAAGCAATAGGCATCCCCCATGGACACCTTTTTTATTTTTTGAGGGGGGAAAATCATCCAATGACTTCTCCCGCCCGGAGGAGGCGGGAGGGAGTGTCAGACTTACTGACTAAAAACCACCCCGTTCCTACTCCTGCACTTCGAGCCGGAGCCCCGGCAACCCGTTAAGTCTTCCGCGGCTCCGTATCGGCATCAGCCCTGTTAGGCCCCATCTGTGGTGGTCTGATGGCTCCTTGAGGCGCGCGTGGAACGCGACGCGCCGTACGCTCGGGCCTGGTTCTGGTCGGGCGGCGAGTCACCCGTGCTCGCCGTCCGCAGGCCCGTGCTTACGGTGGCCGGAGATCGTCTCGCGATCCCCGACGCCCGGAGTGTCTCTCGCGACGGCCGGGTCGTGAGGAGGTTCGTTCCCTCACGCGCTCCGCCTCCTCCTTAGCTAGCATGACTGCTTCGCAGAAGGAGGAGACGGCATCCCAGTGCCCCTCGCTCCGTACCATGGTCTGAACCAGAGCCGGACGCGAGAGGTCGCCGTCGCCGATCACATTCCTGAGGACACGGCGGTGCTCAGTCCACGCAGGACACACCGCCACCGTATGCTCCACCGTGTCCTCCGGGCGATCCTCGCAGTGATGACACCCGGGCGTTTCCTCCCGCCCAATCCGAAACAGGAACCTACCGAAACTTCCGTGTCCGGTAAGCACCTGCGTCAGGCGATAGGTGAGGACGCCGTAGCGTCTCTCAAGCCACTCCTCAAAGAGGGGACTTACCGCTGCAATGACAGCGAGCCCACCCCCATGGACACCTGGAACGCCAGAGGCGTTACAAGTGTGTTACCGGCCTTTTGAGGAATAGGAATTTGAGGGATGTCGGGGATTCAAGGATTGGGGAGATTGGGGAATGGGTAGTTGGGCAAGCGTTGTTTCACGTCGGTTTTCTGTGAGGCTGTGGTATCACTTCGGTCGAGCCGGCCCATTTGTGCCGAAGCATGGCTCTCCCACATAAAGGTAACAATGTTATCATTATGAATTACATTTAGCTACTAGACAAAAAGTCTAGTAGTCTATTCTGTTTATTTATTAGATATCTACTGCTGTCGACATAGATAAATCTTTTCCTGGTCTATATCTACTTCTATCTGTTTTATTATGTATGTATATCTGTTTTATCGTGTCTCTATGAGATTTGGTTGTCATCAGATTCAATCTATTGGCCATGTTTTTTTACATATTCTTCATATTGTCTAACTTATTATGTATACTTGTAACCTACGTAGGTTAGGTTATGAACAAGGCTCGATCCAGAAAAAAATCAAACTGTGAAGACGCTTCTTCTAAGAACTCCAGACTAACTTTAATTGACGGGAAAAACATAAGAACTAAACGGTGAATATTAATGTAAATTAATATTCGCAAATAGGTACTTTTAATTATTTATGATTTACTGATATCAATCAAGGTATTAATCATCTGATTAAAATATTAGAAATTGACGTCATTTTGTCATTTGTATTGTCAACCAAATAATGTGATTAGATATTACATAATCTAGTACGAAGAAAAATATAAACATAATAATATAATAAAGCAGATAAGACCTACTTATTGACTTTTTGAAATCGTTATTAAATTTGCAAGACTGTGTTATTAAATAAAAAAAAATAATTATATATTGAGAAGATCGATTCAAATACCGACGACGAGACGAATTCTATTAAAAAATATTTTTATGGAATTGGAGGCAAACGAGAAAACCGACCATCTGATGGTAAGCGATCAGCGCCGCCCATCAACACCTGCAACACCAGAGGAGTCACAAGTGCGTTGCCGGCATTTTAAAAGGAATACTTATGCTCTTTTGAAGGTTGCAGGTTTTATCGGTTCGGAAATACCGCCGACGACAGGCCATTCAACTAATATAATTCTTTTTTAAACTACGTTCAAAATTCCGACTACAACTCCCTTTGAAGTCAATTAATTAATACCTATACTAAAACCTTCTCCCAATGAAGTATACCTAACAAAAACTTATCTGAAAACCGCATAAATATCATCAGCCAATAAGTTAATCAAACAAACATACATACACCCACAGATCAAGCTGAGAACCTACATCTTTTTTTTTTAATCGGTTAAAAAGAAATGATAAAGTAACTGGCATTGACAGAATATCGCGCGCAAACTTCTAGGTGAAATACTAGAAAAAGGCTTACTTAGCCTTTTAAAGCACTCTTACCCTTACTTGTATCGTATTATCGTACCACAGTTCCTATTATCGTACGATACTAATCGCTATTGTAAATCGTACCATATTGCATTCAGTTAACAGCGACCATACGAATTTATGAAATGAACCTATTTACATAAATATTTAGTTAATTCAAAAAAGTCGAAGTAAACGTCCTTTATCTCAAATTAACAAGCAATTTAAGACAAAATTAATTTCCCTACAATTACATATGATTCAATGTAAGTATGTATCTAGGTACTATATCGTTCAGTAGCGACTATCGTTAAATATTTGAAAAAAAACAACAGATTTGTTGATGATAATAATACCCTTAATTTTACTACTTAAAAGAAAATAATTTTACCTTGACACCTTCCTCGAGAATTTCTCTAACAAAATTGGCTCCGATGCCATTAGACGCCCCTGTCACAACCACTACTTTGTCCTTCAAGTCGTACATGATCACTGCGAGGCTCACTCGATAATAACTAACAACTCACATACACATCTCATCAAGATATACATTTATTATTATCATAAGTATCAATATGTATGAAATAAGTACCTATCTACATTATTGGTTTGGTAGGTTTAATGTCGTAAGCAAATTGAAGAATTAATCATTTCGCAACGCGACCGGCTCGGCGCGGGTATTTCACAAACTGAAACAATACTACGTGTAATAAAAATACTTTTCCAACTGTCTTCTTTTTTTGAAGTTAATAACAGAGTCCGTTATGCCTTTGACTGCCGCTAACGTAGGTCACCGGTGACCTACGTGGCGGTTAACGTGTTAATAGATGTACTCGACGAGTTAAGGGATGTCTTTTAAGTGCGTATTATATGCAATACCCACCTAAGTCAGTAAACAAATAAGTAGTTACGCTTATCTCCGATTAAGGCAGACGGAGATAATGAAAAGCCAGATAGCATGATTCTACATACTTAGTTCGTAACATAACATAACATCCCGCATTTTATCCCCGAAGGGGTAAGCAGAGGTGCACACAGAAGTAACACCCACTTTTCACTATTTGTGTTATGAGTCCCATGTAATAGGGGTGAGCCTATTGCCATATACCAGGGCACATTTCCAGACTCCGTGCTACTACAGAGTTTTTTTTTTAAACCAGTAATACTTTGCCTGACCCGGGAATCGAACCCGAGACCCCTTGAAGACCCCAGTAGTCGCACTTGCGACCACTAGGCCAACGAAGCAGTCATTAGTTTAGTTAGGCAGTCATTACTTAGTTCTTCTTATAGATATTTCCTCAATTACTCAACTCGGAGTGGCAAGGAAAAAAATTATTTTATTATATACATATAAGTACTAAACCGAACGAAACTAGATAGGAAAGAAAATTTTCTGAGCAAATCATAGGATAGAGCAAAAGTGATAAAATGAGCAAATATTTTAATCAGGCGTAATTGTCTTATGAGTCTTTGTTTTGTCGTTTAATACTTTAAGTAATATTTAAGTTGGTTGGGTACCCCAACGATCTTACAAATTGTATCCAACATGATCATCATCATATTCAAACATTAGCGTTCGCCTTACCTACCTAATCTATACGATTCGCAGACGAGTTTAAGACCGTAGTTTAAAGGTTATTATTAAACAGGGCTGTTAGTTGTTCTCTAACAAATAATAAATAGACCTTTCATCATCAATCATCATCATCAAATCATCATCCAAAGGAATCATCCAATGGCTTCTCCCGCCTTGGGTGAGGTAAGGGGGAGTGTCAGACTCTTACTGACTACAAACCGCCCCGATCCTACTTCTGCTCTTCGAGCCGGAGCCCCAGTAACCCTTTCAAGTTGTCCGCAGTTCCGGGAAATAATAAAAAAACCCTCAATTGTTTTTTATGAAACCTACGACTACGAGAACATAAGAACAGGAGAGAAGAAGTTCGCAAAAGTAATTGCGACGCAATAGACAAGCGAGTTGAAGTTTTAGCTCTTATTGTAAGAAAATGAAACATCGCTGTAAAAAATTACAAATTTTATTAAATCAGGACACTGGTTACAATACTTACCTATCACAATTTATCACATAACATCACTCGCACGAAACAACATTACCATATGTCTGTCATATCACTATAAATGTTTTTGATGAACTCTGTTATATCTTCAACTGGTTGTATCTCCTTTGAAAGCCAAGTGCTGCCAGTCTTGCCGGTTTTATATATTTCAATTACGGCTTTCGCTGCCGCTATTTCTCTAAAACAATCAAATTACAGTAAGATTAAACTGTACTATTAGTAAAATCATTGTAAAATACAAAATTGTCGTGCTACGAGTCACCGAGGAGGTATAGCTTGGCTTTAAAGAATCTGGAATAATAGAGGTCGCTAGTATCGACCTGTGTCAACCTGGTAAGCTACGACTGAATCGGTTTTGATATTTGTTATTTTTATCGAGTTTAAAAAGAGAAGGTACTATGCTCGAATGATTGTTTATTCATGGAATATGTTCCGAAGTGTGTGATTCAGTTCAAATCAATATTAGTTTCTGCTATCAAGGCGTTAAACTCGTTTTTGCCAAACTGTACCCATGTACTACTTATTTTATATAAAAAACTTTAATAATAATTTATGTTATGAGTCCCATGTAATAGGGGGTGAGCCGATTGCCATACACCTGGCACAATTCCAGACTCCGTGCTGTTACTGGGAATTCTTAAAAAACCCAATAATACTTTGCCCGTCCCGGGAATCGAACCCGAGACCCCTTGCCCGGCAGTCGCCCTTGCTAGGGCTAAGTTAAAGAGACTGCCTCGTTGACCTAGTTTAAATTTAATTTGCAAATTCTTAATTAGCTCCGGTCCCAATTGTTTTTATAATGACGAACTTTATCTACTTATAAGAACCGACAAATAATGCATATTGAACCCAACTTTTTAAATTCCAAATTTGAAATTTTATTTACAATATACAAAGAGTGTTGCTAGTATAGAAACAAATAATTTCTAAAACTCAACATTAACAGAAGAAAAATGTAATAACTTACTTCGTATGTAAACTCCCCATGGCCATCATTGCATTTTCGATTTCTGCCTTGTCTTTAGCATTGACGATGGGAACAAGGCCTTCATCAGATGCACCATAACATATGGACAATACACGTACTCCAGTCTTTGAGAAAAATTCTTCAGACTGGAAACAAATATAATCTTAGACTAACTAGACTAACTAGACTTATTAGATTTTTAATTTTGATACCCTGGAAATTACCAGATTCCCAATAAATATTATATTTTATTCATTGGTAACGTACTTATGTTGTATAAAAGGCAATTTAGTTATACCTTTAAAATGAGGGCATTTTAATGAAAGCGGAATATTTTTTTAAAGTTCTAGATGTTTCAATAATATGAAAAGCACGAAACGAAGCCATCACTGTTTCTTTGCTCCCGAGCGCATAAAATGTAATCTAGTTAGGTACTCACGCTAAGACTCAGATTGAAAGTCAAAATGGAACTTTTAGTAGCATTGTAGCATTGAAGACATGGCAAATGACATAGACTGGACACTGGAGAAAGGTTAATAATTGCACCACCACTGCCCTTCTCATCTTTGCGCATCAATTCTAAGGCCGTTACACTACTGGTTACTAGAGCAACCTAAAGAGAAAGAAAATATCTATTGATTAAAAACGAATGAGATTACTACCGAGTACTTTTTGGATCCCTTCATGACGGACCAGAGCATAATGTGACTGAATGAAGGCGGAGTTTTCAAAACTCATGAGACCGCAGTTTTCTGCGATCCCGCAACCGCCGCGGTTTCGGTTACCGCCCACAAACTTGGCGGTTGATTATCGCAAGATGAGTGGGTGATTAAACCATCAGTTCCAGACCGGCCTTCCCATTGCGTTTTTTTTTAATCATCTACTGACTGCTCCCGTCTGGGTGATGCGGGAGGGAGTGTCAGACTCTTACTGACTAAAAACCACCCCGTTCCTTCTCCTGCACGTCGAGCCGGAGCCCCGGTAACCCTTTAGGTTCTCCGTGACTTCCCATTGCATTAGTCCGCCAATCGAGCGCGCGGGTGCTAGCCGCCGCGGCTGCGTGATTGCGGCCGTGCCCACCAGTGCAGTGGGAGCCGCAAACCGTTGTAACCGCCGCGGGAGGAAAATGCGCCGTGTGAAATTGCTTTGATTTTTTACATACTAAATTCTACAAGGCCCGCAACCGTGGCGGGCACGGGAGAAAATCGCGCCATGAGTCCTTAGTCTTGTAGTCGTCAATTTTCTAACGATGCCTCTGATGACTGTGATAAGTCAGCTAGGCTATTTTATTCTGTAACTGTCAATTGGAACGTTTGAAGTAAGCTCGTTCGTATTCTCGCCTGTCATTGGCCCAAATAATTCTCACGATCAATGACATGCCGAATTGAGTTCACTTTGATCTTTAAAAACTGAAAATTACTGAATAGCCTATATAGCCTAAAGCAGCAGGTAGTGCGTTTCAATCTCGTGCGTTCAAGAACTGATTTCAAAGTTGAAACTAGGAATGTGAACGTAGGAGGTTTTTTAAACTGTCAAACACCGCGAGGACACTGGTGTCCGCAACCTATTGTTCTTTAAACTGTCAAACACCAAGCGGTCACCGGTGACCGCAACCTATTGTTCTATAATTGTGTCTACAAAACCAGTACTCGACGAGTTAATCGTATCTATAATGACGGTAAACAAGTTAAACAGTTACATAGGATTTTTATGGGATAAGCCAGTGAACGAGCGGACGGATCAACGGCCTTTTGGGGATTACGAATTTGTGGATTGTTGAGGATTCACGGATTGGGAAGATTGGGAAGGGGAGTAATTGGGCCTCCGGAAACCTCACTCACACGACAGAATACAACGTAACTGTTGGTTCACATCGGGTTTCCTGTTAGGCCGTGGTATCACTCCATTCGTACCGAAGCATGGCTCTCGCACACTTAAAAGTGTTCATTAAAACATAAAAATTTACTTACCACATTATTATCAATTAATTCGTTGTTCAAATCTATATTTTGCTCTATTATACCAGCATTATTGACTATTACATAGGTCTTTGTTTTATCCATCATAACATTTTCCAAAGTTTCAATATGTTGATTTTCATCGGTGATGTCACATTTTAAGAATCTCACTTTATTTTTATCTTTATATTTCTGATTAATTTCGTATTGCATGGCGAAACCAGCCTTTTCATTTATGTCCAAGTTTGTTACAGACTGTAATGTAAATAACATAACATCACGCCTTTTTTTATCCCCGAAGGAGTAGGCAGAGGTATACATTATGCCACTGTACAATGTAACACCCACTTTTCACTATTAATGTTATTAGTCCCATGTAATAGGGGTGAACCTATTGCCATACACCGGGCACAATTCCAGGCTCCGTGCTACTACTGAGAATTTATAAAAAAACCCAGTAATACTTTGCTTGATCCGGGAATCGAACCCGAGACCCCTTGTCCGGCAGTCGCACGTTTTTTTTAAGGCGGAAAATCATCGAATGCCTTCTCCCGCCTGGATAAGCCGGGAGGGAGTGTCAGACTCTTACTGACTGAAACCCACCCCATTCCTACTCCTATATTTCGCGCTCCGAATTAGCATCAGCCCTATTGGGCCCCCCCATCCGTGGTAGTTTGATGGCTTTTTGCGTCGGCCTTTCAAATATAATTATATAAAAAAATAGTGTCTATCTGCCCAACGGCCCAACGGCCTATAATGATTCCGTATATAATTCATTATACTTTACTCGTTTATAATATGAAGTCACTTTTAAATTAAAATATTACCTCGACGCCTTCATTCAAGGCCATTCTTAGGATATGGGAACCGATGCCCTTACAAGCGCCTACGACGACCAAAGTAGCGTTTTGCCAGTCATACTTGATCGGATCTTTAGATTCCGTATGAAAACCATGAATTAACTTGATATCACAAAATGCTTTTTTAAATACGTATCGTGAATTATTGGTACTGTGAGACTGGTATGGGGAAGATGTTATATTGCACTTTTGATTGGTAAAAACTACACTTGAAATGTAATTTCGGCCCGCTAACAATGCCCTGCAACTAGCCATTTAGCTATCTTCTATAATGAACTGCACGGGAAAAGGTATTGATCATTTCACTTTTGGTTTCTTTTTTGTTAACTTAATGATTTTTATACATATTACGTTCACGCACATTTGGAAAACCACAAAACGATGACTTAACACGGTGACATACTGTGACGTGATTTTGACTTGACTCAAAGAGTATAATAAGTATAGGACTTGACTCTCTATTTGTAGGTACATAGGTACTTGCTATAGGAACTCTTTGAATTTAATTCTTTGTTACAATGTGGTGCAAAATGTAGGTATTTGAAAGAAGGAAAAAAAGAAAGAAAGAAAGAAAGAAAAACATATATTCGACACATTGCATGCACAGATATGTAGACAAAACTGAGTTATAAATAAAAACAAAATTAAAACAAACAATAAACATCACAAAATTAACAAAAATAGATGCATGCACGTGTCGAACGGGCCTCCACCTCAGCATTATGTTGAGCGTGGTAACACTCAACGCTGATCTTCTGGTGGCACCCTGCAGTGACTCACGGATGGTAGGTGAGAAGACAAATAATATAGAAAATAAAAACAAACTGCATGTAGTGTGTTAGATACAAAGACAAAATAAAATTAATAAATAAATAAAATGGTTCATACAAATAATATATTATTATTACAAATATGTACATGTTGCTACGAAGTAATATTTAAGCTTAATATTTGTATCAAATAAATGCATCAAAGGACGAAAAATAGCGGGAATAACACAAAGAAGTAGACATTAAATATTAAATAATTGAGATATCTGCCTTTGTCAAATTTAGCTTCCGTTGTGCGTCTATCATAAACTGACGTAAGCGTTTCCTGAACGTATAAATTGTGTTTATTTCTCTTATGGGTGGTGGCAGGTTATTCCATACTTTGGAAGCCGCATAACGAAAACTTCCTCGGGAAGCCGCCGTACCGTGACTGTGACCCATAAGCTGCTGCGAACATTGCCTCCTTCCGCACTCTCGCCTGCAATTTACCCAGCTTAGCTTGTCATATAAATAGTCTGTCTTCTGGTGCTTAATAACACCAAACAGTAGACAAGCTAAGTGCAGTTTGCGTCTAGACTTCATTTTTAGGGTGAAGTGCCTGTTTAAAAATGGATGTTTAATACTGTTTAATATTTGGAAATTGGAAAATGATAGGTAAATTTTAAATTCGGTGAAGCATTTTTTTTTGTTTGATTGTAACAAATCTCGTGGGACATCCTAGGGAGGGAATTAATTAGGTACATATCTGTTCTACCTTTCTTTTTTACGGGGGAAAATCATCTAATGACTTCTCCCGCCCGGGTGAGGCGAGAAGGAGTGTCAGACTCTTTCTGACTAAAAACCACCCCGTTCCTACTCCTGCACTTCGAACCGGAGCCCCGGCAACCCGTTAAGTCTTCCGCGGCTCTGCTATCTGTTGTACCTAAATGAGAAATTTTATGAGGATCGGTTTGAATTAAATTCTTTACAGTAGGTAGGTAATAGATTGCAGTCTGGACTCTGTGATATAAACACATTCATAAGGTGAATGCTTTTCATACCGGGAACACGGGCAAAGTCGCTGACAAAAGCTATAATGTGAAATTACATTTGATAAACGATATTATTAGTTGACTACGCGACATATAATAACCATATTGTGTGGTCGTGCCGTGTGTCGTACAATGCCGCTTTTTATTTTTTTTTTTTTTTAAGGGTGGAAAATCATCGAATGACTGCCCCCGCCTGGGTGAGGCGGGAGGGAGTGTCAGACTCTTACTGACTAAAAACCACCCCGTTCCTTCTCCTGCACGTCGAGCCGGAGCCCCGGTTACCCGTTAGGTTCTCCGCGACTCCGAATCGGCATCGGCCCTATTGGGCCCCATCTGTGGTGGTCTGATGGCTCTTTGAGGCGCGCGCGGAACGCGACGCGCCGTACGCTCGGGTCTGTTTCTGGTCGGACGGGGAGCCACCCATGCTCGCCGTCCACAGGCCCGCGCTTACGGTGGCCGGAGATCGTCCCGCGATCCCCGAGCCCGACGCCCGGTGTGCCCTACGCGATGGCTGGGTTGCGAGGAGGCATCGCTTCGCTGCCTCACGCGTCACGCCTCCTCCTTAGCTAGCATGTACAATGCCGCTTAGCGTGCCTTGAAACTACTCAAGTTAGGGTATATTTTAATCAAACAGGTATTACTACTAAACGTAACGAAGTATTTTTTTCTTGTGTTGTGGCACTTGTGGCAGCTTTACTGTCTTATTAAATAGTTGCGTAATAAAATAAAATACTTAGGGATGATGACAGGGTGAAAATTAAAAATGTAATTAGTCCGCCAGAAGTAATGAAAATATATTAGATACCTACGTATTTTTTTACTTTGTCGTTTAAGAAAACAATACTTAGATATAACGAATCAAAGTTCAGGAGTGGAAGGTAGCTACGTTGTTTTAAAGTATTCAAAAATGACGTCATGCGATATTTATATAATATGTATTTTCGAAACTATTCGTTTCCGTAAGAAAATAAAAAATATGCGTCTAATGTTTTTAAATAATCTACCAGACGTAGGTATTAATATACATTAAAATAAAAATTAGTCGTCTACCCTATTGTCGTTAAAGTTAGGTACCTACCTTCACACTACCGTCAACGTCCAGTATTAATTCAGTTCTAGCTTCTGCCTGCGGCTTCGCCCACGTTCCCGTGGAATAAAAAGTGGCCTGTGTTAATTCAGATCGTTATCAACCCCTTTGTTTTACGTTGAAAGTAATCGAAACGAGTACGCGTTCGGCGCTCTGATTGGCCGGCACCAATGAACTAATCAATCGGAGCGCCGAAGGCAGTCTCGTTTCAATTACTTATAACGTACCTAAAACAAACTCGTACTAAGGCCTCTGTTTTAAAATTTGATTTCGATCCCTTCAGTCGTTTGACGTGAAATAGTAACAAACACCCAAAGGAGGAACTAGTAGGATTATAAAACTGACAAGTGATATGAGATATGAGTATGATTATGCCGGATGAGCATAATGCCGCGGTATTTTTGATCACTCTTTTAATATTCTGATTCAAAAGTTTGCGCTTCTTGTCTACAGTATTCAAACGGGTTGCCAAACATAATATTATTTTGTTCTACGGTAAATTTGTTTCGACATGTTTATGTATTGTTAAAAGTGTTTTTATTTTCAGGAAAGTAGGTAGTTAGATGTTTAAAAATTATAAATTTCGTTTGAGAAGCGAAATCATGCTATTAATTAACATTTATCAACAAAGAATCTGTGGACTGTAATAGTTTTATGAAAATAGTAGTTGGCAACATGAAACTGTACTGTCAGATGTCATTGCCACCATGATGTCAAATCGCCAACGTCAATGAGTGTCAATGACATTTGCGTGTTTGCTACTTTGCTATTTGTAGACGTCATAGCATTCGGTTATTGCATTGCATCCAGTTCTCGCTAAAGTAGTTTTTATAAAAAGTAGGAGTAGGAAGGAAATCGACCCACGTCATCACATTAGGGTCTTGTGTTCATTGTGCAATACAATTAGTCACTGCCCCGTGGTTCGTCACTATAATATTAATCCAGATCGGTGGTTAGTAAACGGCGCTCAGTTCCTCAGTGTGTGATAAGTTCTTCATCAATAAAGTTGTATTAAAATGAATCCGTGGCAGCAAGTAAGTAATTTGTTTCGTTATTTAGTAGTTAGTGTTAGCTTGGTTTTGGTTTTCTTCAACGCATGATAAGACTGAATGGACGGAATAAGTTTGCAAAATTAGTTACGTGAAATCAACGCATTTTGACCGGCAACTGTTTTGTTTATCACAAAAATAAGTTAGATAAATGTTTGTAGTTATGATTGTATACCGCAGAATATTTATAAATGATAGAAACTTTTTTATGTTGTGAATTTTATGTCTGAAATGTTTACACATAATTATTATTGAAGATTTGAGATCTTGCCAGTTAAAAGAATACCAGTAAATTATCCCGTCATTTAATAGTACCTGGTATAAATATAACCTAATTATTTCATGACCTATGTTCATTTAAATAGGTATTACGTTTAAAATCTTAACAAATAAGTATCTAAAAGTAGGTCATTGCATGTTGTTCACCTAGTTTCTTATAATTCTTATAAGGAAGCTTGCGAAAGAATTCATTTTGTGCTCAATTTGCAGGTCATTATATAAAACTTATACTATTCAAGTAAATCATTTTGCTATGATAAATTAACTATGTAGGTAGAGTTTCATTGAATCTAGGTGTTTAATAAGTGTAGGTAGGTTTATTTGATTTTTTAAATTTTGCCATGGAAAACAAAACTTTTAGTAGTGTCCTCCTATTAAAAAAAAACTAATCTGAATTTAAAGTACCAGATTGTGTGAGGCCTGTGTTCAGCAATTGTCATTTATTTAGTTATGACAGTAGTCATGAGGATGACCTGTTGTAGGTATAATATAATGTATTATAGGTGTATGCTATTTGTATGTAGGGCCATTGTTTCACATTATCAATAGGATAATGAATTGATTTAAATTTTCATTTCCTTCAAGGGCCAAGGAAACCCGCAACAACAATACTATCATAATATTGGATTCTGCAACAGTGCCCCACAGTCTTTTGGGAACCCAATGCCTATGCCAGGAATGCCAACAATGGGATACCCAGGACCCCAGCCTGGTGGCGCTCCCGGATACCCCCAGGTATCGCAGGGTTACCCTCAACAACAAAACTCTCCATATCCGAGACAACAAGTGAATCAGGGTTATCCAAATTCTGCTCAAGGGTACCCAGGTCAGGGTTACCCACAGACTGCTCAAACCGGGTACCCCCAACAGGCTCAACAAGGGTATGCCCAACCTGCTCAAAGTAGTTACCCTGTTCAAGGGCAAGGTAATCCTGGTTACCCACAAAGTGGCCCAGGTTACCCTCAAAGTAGCCCCGGTTACCCGCAAACTAACCAATACCAGGGGCAACAACAGTATAGTCAGTCTCATGCTAGCCACCAAGCTTACAATGTGTCTTCATCATATGTTGCAATGCCAAAGGTACGTTGAACTGCTTTTGTTAATAGGCAACTTCGCAAATATATTTTCTTGTCTTATTTTTCTATCTGTTACAAGTTGACGAGTTATGTTTTACGAGTTGACTCATAGTTACTTATTGTCGTACTAACTAATCTTATTGAAGAGCTACTTATTTTGTGATAAGCAGAACAATGCTACTATTATTATAATTGCATGATTTATTTTTCTTGTTTATTATCTATTATGCTTTTTGAAGCTTGAGTAAAGGGCTTGATCATTCCTATTATATTTGTTTACTCCTTATTTCAGTTTCTATTTAATTAAATATCAATAAAATAAAAACAACTTTAGTAACTTGTAAAAAGTCTGTGTTACATTTACTATGCATTTGAATGTGAATGCACGGTTGGTGCGGTGGCTGAGCTACCGGCTACCGCACATGTCTCGGGTTTGAATTCCACACGGAACAACTCTTTGTGAGATCCATAAATTGTTGTTCTGGGTCTGGGTGTCATGTGTATATGAACTTGTATGTTTGTAAAAGCACCCACGACACAGGAGAAAATCCTGGTGGGGCCAATGGGTTTTCAAAAACAATTCTGCCTAAGCCTTTGAGGAATAAAAGCCTTATACATGTAATGTTATGTGTAATTTTTTTTTCTTCTCTCTTTAATGGCAATCGTAATATGAGTCATTAATTCTCATTCAATGCATTATTGACAACTGACCGTTAATGCTATTTTTAGCCTTCATGCACTTTCATTGGTGATTTGCCATTAGTGTATGACTAAGAAGTATGTTGCATATTTATTTAAGTAAGTCCTACACATATGATAACAATATTTAGTATTTCTATTCTAATCAAGTAATTATTTTAAAAGGAACTTACTGTTTGAAAATAAATAAAAATAAACTAAAGGATTCGCCTGTTCTACTTCGCAAAATTGACGATCTGCTGCGCCTATTGCTCTAATGGGATTAGTTTTAACGGTCACTGAGGCATCGGAAATTGGTCAACAGAGCTGCGCTATCTTGTAGGTTAAGGTTGAATTCGATTCTCTCATCAATTTAACCTTTTTGTGTAGTTTTGTTTTTATATTTGATGGGTCGACGTTTGACCAGTATTTCGACTGTTGGTAAACGATGCTGCGGTCTACGATGGAGCACGAGTGTAATTGATGAGAATGAAATGATCGAAGTATTTAGTAGAGTGGTTGCAAAGGCGACTGTCGAGCAATTGTCACGCAAAATCGAGGATTAGGTATCAGTTTCACTTCCCAGATTGAGTAAAATTTTATTGTTTTCTTTTTTTAATATTTTTTACCAATTTTCAAATAAGACAATGAAATCGAATGAAGTTCTCATTCATTAACAACTTTTAAGAAAAAAAGAGAATGAAGAGCTCGTTTTAAATTCACGATGTCACATTATTTAGAGTAATACAGGAGGCTGGACAGTGGACGTACCTACTCGGACTGTGACTCTATTCAAGGAACATTTTGCTGCAATTACATTGTTATGCTCACTTCGCCTCTCAGTACATTTATCAAAGCCACGTACGATTCAGTCTTGGCATTGGTCCCCACTACAATGGATGTAGTGATCTCCAAATACACCTTTAATCTCACCTCTAAACACAATATTTAATCTATAATAGTGTTTAATAGTGATGTGACGCTGTTAATTGTGTTATCGACAAAAGTATCGAGTTTAATATGTCTTCGGTAACATCCAATTCGAGTATGCGCAGTGCTTACAGAGCATCAATTGGTATACGGCGAGGATTCAAATCGTTTCGTTATACGGTATTTATTTTCTTTTATGTTTCAATGACGAATTAGTTTCAATTGTGTCTTGCAATTGTAAGACAATCGAGCTAGAGTTAACAAGTTAAACTTGTTGTGATCATAGGTAGTTAGCGAATTAGAGATATTTTGGCCTTACAGCGATATTAGGTCATGTTTTAGCCATTAAACTAAGTGCTGTCGCGTTATAGAAAACGTTTTAGCGAATATTTAACTCCCTTGCTTGTTTATCTGCGATACAAAAACCTTTATTGTATATTTTAGATCATTTGCCTGTTTTGGATTGCGTTTTATAGTCTGTTGAATCATTTATAACATTCGAAACTGACAAAAATGAATTTAGTTACTGGTTTAAGTTTGATCGAAATAACCTTCACTAACAATGTTCATTCTCAAAATATGCTCCTATTTTGTGCACCAATACACTGCGTTGTTTCTCTGCTTGCACTATTTGTACCATCTCCATGAGCCATCTTTAGAAAAATAGACCCATGTCATGTCCCTAGGACCGTTTATATCAAATAATGCTTACGCTAACGCTAGCCTCAATCTGATTGGCTGATGTCCTGTCTTTCGGGCCTGGGTACCCATTCTAGTGATTGTAGTGCATATGCATCGTTCAATAATATAATAGTCCGTAGATTGCATTTTATGACGCCATCTTTGTAGATTGTAATTGGAAAAACTGATTTTTTATTAAGTTGTTTACACGAAGATACGAAGCTCTTTACACGAATGGCTTATATTACTTTAACTATACTATACCATTCATATATTTTTATAATAATTATTATGCTTTAATCTAATCTACTTATTAACAACATTTTCTTCGTTCTGTTAATACGTACCAAAATTATCGTTACTAAAGTATCTCCCTTTTCAGACGAAGCCGACTGTTGTGCCGGCAAATCCCTTCGACCCTCGGGAAGATGCCGCCGTCCTTCGGAAGGCCATGAAAGGCTTCGGTACAGACGAGAAGGCTATTATCCACGTTCTCTCTAGGCGCACTAATGAACAGCGTCTCCGAATCGCCTTCGAGTTCAAAACTCTCTACGGAAAGGTAAGCTTGAAAGAGATGAACATATTTCTGTTGGTTTGCTCTCCTTTTCAGCTCAAGGTCTGCGGCGCCGGCGCTAGTCTAGACTATTTCAAATGATTTTATAATAATTGCATTATACCGTTCTGCTTCCGAAAATAGTTTGAAGTTCAAGAGTTCGTTCTAAAGTTTTTTTATTCAGATGTTTAGTTGAAGTATGCAGAAACTAATAAAATGTGTCAACATTTATTTTCAATGCATTGATTCAGTGTAAACGTAAACTTTGTATTGCTTACTAGGTATAGGTACGTAGTGCGGAGTAAAGACCGAATGAAAAAACCTACTTATTTTTATTTATAAATTTTTTCCTCAATCTCTGATAGGTTAAAAATATTATATTTATCCGAATCAGTCCAATAGTTTTCGAGATTTGCACTTGTCCCATTTTTTTATCGACAATAGAGATTCCATCCTTATCACAATTTTCTCTAAGTGGCCTAGTAAGTCCCTTACGCACTTGCGGTTGACCGCCTAAGGCGGTTCGTATCGACAGACGCGGTTGCCATAGCGGTAGCATATTAATTACTAAAAGCTGTCAACCGCAGGGAGCGGCTAGCCGCGCGGTTGACCGCTAGTGCGGAAGGAGTGTTAGATTTCCTTTCTTGTAAACACTTGAATAATTTTGTAAACAATTTTATCAGGAATGTAGTAGCACGAATAGGTACTTAGTCATTACATTCTACCTACAGTCCTGATAAGATTATATCTTAACGACATTGTTTACATGTATACATTGTCAGTAAGTATCGTATTAAGATTAGAATCTTTAGATAAATCATTGAATAAATTTTTATTACTTTGGTCTTCGGTTATTTGGTTCTGGATTCTTACCGATATATTGGATGCCTGTCTATCTTGAATTGTCGCATTCACTAGCAGCTAATGTCCTGAATTCTTGCCTGGGAAATGGTGTCAGGACTTCAGGATATTTTTAATAATTAGAAAATAATATGTTTTTCTAACTTTTCTGTTGGGTTCGTTTTAATACGAGAGTAATTGCAAATGTCTGCCCTTGGGGTGACAATTATCCAATTAACTAAAAGGCAGCTCCCATCAACTTATTAATTACACGTCGCGTCGCGTCGCTTCCAATTTTGTTTAACTAATTACTTAAATGCCAATGAATTTATTTTTGCAGATCTATAATTTTGAAAAGCTATACGTTACCGTGGTAAAGATCCATAATATAGGTATTAATTATAGTAATTAGACAGAATTACCTAATAAGTTTTCAAAGTGGGGAAGTCACCAATAAAAAATAATTTAAAATGCTTAATTTTCCTATACGCATTTCAGCGTTCTTACACGTGTCTTGTAAATTACTGAATCAGATTTGATGAATTTTCATAAAGATTAAATCCTGAATACTGAAAGGCTACTGAATTTGAAGCTGTACCTTAAATATCGTGCCATCTCTGTCATTTTTCAAAGAATTTGTAGTGACAGAACTATACTTAAATTTGAGTGACGTTTGAGTATTTCAGCGTTAGAGATCTTTTTTTGGAATCGCCTAAAACTTAAATTTAGTATTAAAATAGATAAGCCATCTGAAATAGATACATAGGACACGTCGATTATCGGCATATGTGCTTCAAATACATATGTTGACGACTACTTATGTAATGTGAATACTTTCAATAAATATTGGCCAGATATTGCCATCTGGTCATTAATAAATAAATGATTGTAAGTACTAATACGGGCCTTGAGATACCTACGTAACGTATTTATAATCAGAGCTATAATTTATATAGTGTACTATACGAGACCTAATACATACGATAAGCGCATTTCCAACTAGGTTATTAAGTCTACCTATAGTGTTCACGTCACATGGCCGCATGCAATGTTGTTTTTAGTTCAAATATTTATAGGTGCACTGCACATTTCAGGACTAGGTTTTTCCTCAAACACAGTCTAGAAATGCAGTCCGACAAGGAAATTAGTGTAATTTGTATTTATATGTCATTTTGTTTGATATTTTGACCAGTTTTCTTGACCTTTTTGGGTTCACAATCAACGTTCTGGCACAAAACTACTTCTAATAGATACTAGAGACTGGAAATATTGTGAAATTCAATAACAAACTTATAAATAAAGTCTCCTTAGCTCCAAACTGTCGAAGTAATACGGAAGAAAGGTCTATAAAACGCGCCAAAACCTAGTTTTGGCGGGACGCGTCGTCGCCATTACATCGATTCAGGTTTACTTCGGTTACAAACACCCTTTGACTCCTCGTAAACAAGTCCTCCATCCCCTTACATTCGGATCAGATGGCCAATCCGATATCGAAACGTCATTTATCGATTAGTTTGTCCCGAACACTGACCTTGCAAGAATGTAACTAGATATAGAGGCAGATGTACTTATAGATATAGGGATAGCTGTATGATACCTATATCTTTCCTGGAATGAAGTGCTAAAGATTGAACAGGATTAAATATTACTTGTAACTCAGCTCCCTAGTATGTTTTTCATTCATAAACTGCGTAACTGATTGAAATACCATATATATGAAAGTCAATTTTTGTCGTATCTACTCACACAAGGTCCATAGAGGTCCCATACTATGAGGCTCGATCTTTTATAAAATGTACGTGTGGCCGAAACCTATATTGGGATCTCTAAAATCTAATTTAAATAGGACATAGGTATTAATATACATTCTGAAATCAGTGACTGACATTATTTAACCAAACTGAAGGCACCATATCATGATTATGGATCATGATATTATGTCATCGAGGAAACGTTTATAATTTGTTTATCCTATAACCGATCGGTTTTAGTTTGTTGTTGTTCTTGTTTACAATACATTGCCTACACGAGGAAAAAGTACGGAAATAAATTAGCGCGTTTGCGCAGTGCAGTTTTTCGAAAAAACTTACTAAATCCCAAACCATGGTGACTACTAAACCGATTTTTAATGGAATAGTTGAGTTTTTTTACTTATGTTTCGAGTTGGGAAAGGCTTGTATTCAGTAGCAGACGCGTTAAATAGCTGATCTGAAAAATTAATTACGAGTTCCAAGTTCGTGTTATGAAAATCGTACAGCATAAACGCTCTTCATAATGTTTCTATATTGATTTTTTCTTGCAATATGGGATTAGCTCTTCCGAGAACGTTTCCTAGTTAGACAGTTTCCTAGAAAGAACTCGTATTGAGTTTAAACTAGTACGCGTCTCGAAGCGTGACCGTCGTATGATGTAATATAATTCGTCATTAGTAGATTTTCCTCATGGGAACAACTCAAGGCCAACCAAGGCTATAACCGAAAGTTAGTCGCTACACAAGCTTTACAATGCTATGTGTATAGTGAGATGTACATTTTGACTTGAATACAATTGGGTAGTTTCCAGGGTATCAAAATTCAAAAGCTAATTAGTCCATCAGTTAAATAATAAAAAAACATTGGACACGTATTTTTTTATTTCCTCGTATTAAGTTGCAATACTTAGACAAAATGGCGCTAAGTTTAGGAGTGGGAGGTTGTTACGTCATAACGTGTTACAAAATGTGGCACGCTGTGACGTCGCGCGATATTTCAAATTAATATTATATTGTCGAAAGTATTTAATTTTGTGATAAAAAAAAAATACGTGTCTAAAGTTTTAAATTAATCTACCACATGGACATTAAATAAAATTTAGGAAACTACCCTATTTTGGTATAGTTGTAGATGTGTCTTTCGATCTTCCGAACTTGACAGTTATTGATTGGTTTAGTCACCCGTGTCGTCTATTTAATTATTTAAGTATTCAGACTTAACTACTTTTCGTCTTCCTCTGACCCAATGAGTTTTAAATGTTTAATAACAATACGATCTGTACAAGAAACAGTCTAACTGTTATTGAATAAATGTAAAAAAAGATTACGCCTCTGTTCGAAAACTACATTACCAACAATAAAGTTATTAGTGCGATATTTCGGTAATTTGGCAATAACAACTTTTGACTATTTAATATAAAGATTGGTATACATTTTCTTCTCCCAGGATCTGGTGGCGGATTTAAAGAGCGAAACCAGTGGCAAGTTTGAGGATCTACTGGTGGCTCTTATGACTCCCTTGCCGCAGTTCTACTGTAAGGAGCTCCATGACGCCATCGCGGGCATCGGCACTGATGAGGACGTTCTCATTGAAGTGATGTGCACCATGTCCAACCACGAGATCAACGTCATCAAGCAGACTTACACTGCTAGTGAGTACCAACTGTCCTGTTTTTCTTTTATTTTGTATTTGTTCATCTTGTTTTTAATTTTTTTTTTACCTATATACCTAGATGTAGCTTAACCTTGCTCTACGAGTCTCAAATCAAGTCTTAATGGAAACAAAAAAGAATTATCGTAATCGGTCCTTTCCAGTTTTGCTGTTAGGAGTAGGTGAACAAGAATAAGATTGTTCTAATTTTTTTTTTTTTTACTTTAAAACTTAATGTGATACTAATAAGCAGTTGTCTCATTTACTAAAAGACTTGTATGTTGTATAATTTTCATGTTTGCAATATTCACGAGTGTTCTACACTACCATTTTAATGAAGTTTAAATATCATGTGGCTTCATTATACACGTAATTTCTGTCCTTAAGGGTGTTATTACGTCATTACTATTTATAAATACACCACTAACTACCGTTTTGCGGGCGATGCTACGTTATTATCCAGAATAATGGAACCAAGTCACTAAAACCGTTGAGGTGAACCGGAAAATGTGATAAATAATTCAGTATTTTAAACTTAGTTGTCGTTTAATTGGTAACTACTGTTATATATATATATATATATTGTCAAACTCCAGTATGGAAGGTTCATATTATAAGGTTGCACAAAATTGAACCTCAAGGTGACTCTTTTCGAGTTTTTGAAAATGAAAATGAAAATATTTATTAGTAAACATAGGTACAATGGTATATTACATTTCATGGTATAATATTGACCGTCTATGTTTTGTGATATGTCACATACAAATTAGGTTAAAAATTTAAGTATTTAATAACGTCATTAATTATAATTTCATTCGAATAAATTATTACAATAGTCACGAATGTATATAAAAATAAAGATAATGCCCTTAATGAAAATTTTAAATATTAATCATTAGTGGATGTCAAGATGAACGTGAAACAGTACATTTTTTTTAAGTCATATTACCTAGTCAGTGGGTACAACATACTAAAAGTTTTACTGATGCCGTTTAAAATCAGTCATTATGTCTATGTGTGTGAAAGCCTTGAAATTAACGTACACCATACTATGTTAGGGAAAAACCCTTTTATCTTTTGACAGTATGTAAATATAATCTACCATAACAATTTTTCAGTTTGCCACACACACATGCCTAGTTCTTCTATGCTTTACATTTTTCGTTAAACTGCAACTTTATTGCCTTTGAAATAAGGTTCAAATTATTGGCCAGTATAGTTAGTTTTGTTCTAGTTTTTACATGCTTTGTGTGAGTGCATACGTCATTCTGCGGATACTAACTATTGATAAATATCAAGCACTCATTGTAGCCATTCCAGTTCTAATTATTCTGAAAAGTTTGTAGTTAGTTAGAATCTGATAGTATGTTATACTATATACTCTGTACATGCATACATACCTACTTAATATACATAGGTATACATAGTCTAGTTTGATTTTGTGTCTCGCTCTAACGTGTTAAGTATGAATGAATGCGTCAACACGTCTTGTCAGGTGATGACATTATTGGACATAATGAGTTGATTGATCTATTATTAACAGTAGATTATCTTCCTAAGTACTTAAGTAGCTATAATATACAGGGTGACTTGTAACTCGACGTATTCCTTTCGGGAGGCGGTAATACAACAAATTTCCTACAAAATTACCCCTGAGGTCTCTGGTCCGAAAGTGAGTTTATGAGATATTCAACATTTTCGGTTTTGGTTAAAAAAAATCCCGATCGAATGGAACGCCAATTACTATGATTCCATGTAGGAATCGTAGTAGTCGGTTATTGGCTCTCTCTTCTTCAAACCTCTTTCGCTTTTGTAGTAAACGCACTGTATTATAAAGTAAAACAGCACAAGTCACAAGAACAATTCATTTACATTCACATCATGACATACCTAGAGTTATATGTATAATCTTGTAGCGGATACAAGCAATGCCATGTATTTGCAACGATGATACACGATTGGTATGAAATTGCGTAAATTGGTGTAAAACTAAGAGTTTCTAGGACACCAGTCCTTGGGCCCGCGTAATGAATCGTTTCCTTCAAACACGCCTAATATGTAGTATGTGGCTTCTGCCAACGGTTTCGCCCGCGTTCCTGTGGCAAATAAAGTGGTTATTCCAAATTCCTATGTGTTATTCCAAACTATAATCTATCCGTGATCCAAATTTCAGGAATTCATACATACAAACTTTCGCATTTATAATAATAGTAGAATATTAGTCAGTTGGGTCAGTTCCGATCCAATGTAATTGTACCTACTTAAACTGTCAAACACCAAGCGGTCACCGGTGACCGCAACCTATTGTTCTTTAATTATGTCTATAATGACGGTACTCGACGAGTTATGCATGCCTGACTGCCTCGTTGGCCTAGTGGTCGCAAGTGCGACTGCCAGGCAAGAGGTCTCGCGTTCAATTCCCGGGTCGGGCGAAGTATTACTGGGTTTTAAAAAAATTCTCAGTAGTAGCACGGAGTCTGGAGTCTGGAGTTGTGCCCGGTAAATAGGCTCCCCCTATTACGTGAGACTCATAACATAAATAGTGAAAAGTGGGTGTTACATTGTACAGTGGGATTAAGTGCCGCAGGTAATGTGCACCTCTACCTACCCCTTAAGGGATAATAGGCGTGATGTTATGTTATGTTGAATAATACATGTGCGAAAAAGGCCTTTTCATTCGTCATTTCTGTTCATTGTATTGTCAACTTTGTACTCTGTTATTGGAGTTTATATTCCTTTAAAGACACGTACATATCAACTGGTTTTTCCCCTAGACCCGTGTGTTAACCCCTTTTGGCTCGTTATCAATAGAGAACGTCTCAATTGCCGATTATGTTGACTTGATTGAATTATGTCGACACAATTGTGATAGCAAAATTATATTGATTTGTTTTCCTGGACATGGATGCCTAGTGTACAAGGAAATGGTTACAACTTTTTAAAATGTTTGCACAGTTTAAAATTTTAACTAATTATCCTTTTTCCTTTTGAAGAATATAGAATAGCTACTTACCATAAAACGTGCGACCTCTTTATTTCGTGGCAGTTAAAAGTGTCGCATAATTTACGACGATTGGTTCTATAGTTCGCATAGCAAGGAAAGATTCGCTAGTAATTAGCAGTTTGTCAATATCGCCCAGAGTGAGAGGAATATATTGCTCTCTCAGTCATTCCCCAACAATGATTGATGGCGTAGATCAGGGGTGTCCAAACTAGATGGGACCCAGGGCCAATAAAAAATACTAAATACATTGGTGGGCCGCAAAATATTTTTAAAATAAAAAACAGTTTATAATGATTTGTTATTTTATTTAGTAGGTAGATAACCTACTGTTTTGTTAATTTGTCTTTTACAATTCTGTCAATATCAACATTAATATTAGTAGTAGCTAGGCGCAGTGCATGCTTAAGTGAAGTATCTGTCAATGAAGACCTGTATTTAGACTTAATAAACTTCATTGTCGAATATGCACTTTCACAAAGGTAGGTACTGCCCATCATCGAGCCCATTTTTTGTCCGAAATTCGTCAGTTTCGGGAAACGTTCAGCGAGGAGTTTAAAAAAATCAATGCCTGTTTCTGTTCTGCCCTTGTAAAAGGGGTCTGATTGCAGATCACACAGTTCCAGTTGATAATCAATGTTTACAGTCTCAACTGCGATTGTTAATGGTTGAGTGAAGAGTGCTATATCACTCTCAATTTTTTCAAAATCTGCGAAACGCCGCTCAAATTCGACGATTATTTCGTCCATGTATTTGAGGTGGTCCAAGAAATTACATTCTTCAAAATTTTTCATCTCTAAATAATGTTCTTTACAACTTGGAAAAAAAGAAAAATCATCTTGTTGTAGAGACGTCTTGAACAATTTAAGTTTATTTCTGAATCCATTCACATTTCCATACAGGTTGGCTATATTGTGGTTTTTACCTTGCAATTTTAAATTTAACTCATTCAAATGTTGCGTCATATCAGTTAAAAACGCAAGATCAGCCAGAAACTGAGGATCTCGCATTTTATCTTGTAGTTCAGAAGTGTCAGACGATATCTCATTTTTTAGAAATAAAGGTATTTCTTTTCGTAAGGCAAAAAAGCGTTGCAAGCACTGGCCAGCACTTAGCCATCTGATTTCTGAATGCAATAGTAAATCTCCATAGTTTGCATCGATTTCACATAAGAAGTCTCTAAATTTTCTATGTGTCAATGATCTGTTTCCACCTCTAATCAAATTGGTTATCCTTATAACAACTTTCATAGCATTCATTTGACGCAACGATTTTCCACACAAGGCTTCTTGGTGTAGGATACAATGGAACAACGGGCAATCAATGCCATTTTGTATTAGAAGTCCCGCAAATCCTGTCACTTTTCCGGTCATAGCTTTTGCCCCGTCGGTCACAATACAAGAACACTTACGAAATCCTCCATATTCTACAATAGTTTTGTTAACTGCTTCAAATATATCACTGCCTTTAGTTGTTCCATGAAATGGTATTAAATCCAGCATTTCTTCCGTGATTGTAAAATCTTTGGAAATGCAACGTATGAAGATTATTAATTGTCTGGTTGGTACTTTCATCCAAACATTTGAATAATATTCGCAATCTACAAAGTAATCACATAAACTTTTCGTAATATAATTACCCATGTCCTCTATTCGTCGCGCCACCGTTTGGTGAGATAATGCAAAAGATTCAAACTTTTCCGCTTATTTCGGCTGCATAAAGCGTTTAGCCATTTCAACTGCGCATTTTTTTATTAAAGCTCCATCACTAAATGGTTTTTTAGCTCTGGCTAATTGTAATGAAACTTCATATGAAGCAGCCAAGCTTTGTTCATTTTCAGTTCTTCCTTTTGAAAACATACTTGTTTGCTGTATTAGTTTTTTTTGTACTCAGCCACCATAACTTTTCTTGCTTCACCGACATGTTTTTTATACTTTTCTTCATGTAAAGAAGTATAGTGTCGCTTAACATTATATTCTTTACTTACAGATAAAACTTGCATACAAATCAAACACTGAATTTTATTGTTGTTATTGTTGGAAATAAAGTAGTCTAACTCCCATTTCTCATTGAATGAACGTTTTTCTTCACTTAACTTCCTCTTCTTTGTAGACATGATGAGGTTAAATGTTTTTTATACGCAAACACAAAGCGAACAAACTTTAAAATAATGTTAAAGTCTTTAACCTGAGAGTAACCTTGCGTAATCAAGACTTTCGTCGCGTTTAATGACAAGTGACAAACAAATGCCCAATGAACGATGCGCGGTAGTAGGTACACGTATCTTGCGTTCGGGGAATTCCCCGAATTCTCGAGTGAATAGTGATGTGAGCAACGTAATCTAACATACCCAAAACATTCGATTTTGATGCGAGAAAAATAATTTGCTTGTTAATTTTGGAAACCGGACTTTTTTTGAAGTCAGTTAAAAAAGGTTCTACGGGCCGCAATCAAACAAGCCGCGGGCCGCATGCGGCCCGCGGGCCATGGTTTGGACAGCCCTGGCGTAGATTATGTAACTGCTATTATACTTATTTGAAGTGAGTGTTGGAGGAATTTGCGTTATAATAAAGTGAATTGTAGGGGGAAGTCCCTTAACGCCGGACGGCAGCTAACGGCGGACACATATATTATCTCGAAAAATGTAACCGCAACTACGTCTGCGTTTTTCTAAAATAAAAGTAGCCTAACTTACTCCTTTGTACATCAGCTACCTATCGATAAAAGTCCTGTCGAAAATCGGTCCAGCCATTTCAAAGATTAGCCAGTACAAACAAACAGACGGATATAAAAATTGTAAAATGTGTTATTTTGGTGTATGTATGGTATGTGTATTCATATGTATATAGTAAAAAGCGGTAATTTCAATATTACAAACAAAACTAAATTTTATTTATCTGTATGGGTGCTTATAATGTAGAAATCTAGTATCGTCGGAAACCTCATGTGAAAAATGCTAGTCTGTTGTGCGTTGGTGTTTTGGGCACGATTCCAAGTCACTGTTATTACTAAGACTATTGAAAAATCCATATTCTAGTGTTCTAGTCTGACATTCAGCTAGGTTTTTCTGCCTATTCATGTACTTTATTAGAGGAAATTATTTATCAATTAGCTGTTTCGACATGTTTTCTACTTATTGGTTTACTGTTAAATACAATACGTCGTACAAGGATTGGAATGTACAGAATATGTCCCTTATACACTATACTAAAGATACTATTACTAAAGAACCATTATGACTATATGAATGAGCATTCAGATTATTTTCAGTTTAAAAGTGATTGGAATTCTGCTCTAACACATAGATATTTAGTCACCTAGTAGTATCATAATGTTATATATATGCTTTATTGTACCCATTTAAGTAGCTTAAAAACAAACAATTCTAGTAAATATGCGTACAATGGGCGGTCTTATCACGCAATGGTGATTTCTTCCAGACAACCTTTGGATGGAAATATTTATAAGAAATCAGATATGGGGTAGTTTAATGTTAATGTTTTCTCAAACCTTACTTTACTAGACACGACAGCGCCTAGCTTCACTGACGGACAGACTGACAGACTATTATATATTTCATATTTGTTGACGTTTCAAAAGTACCAAATTATGGTTTAATTGAAATAAATGCTTTTTAGAGTTTGAGTTTGACGAAAAAACTTGAAATCGCATTTTTTAATACCTAACTTGTAGACTACAGATCAACAATATTCAGTTCAAGTGCAATCTTATACAAACGTACATTTCAAATCTATTTCTTATCTTACGACATTATTATTTGCAACAAAATCTGTGTTATTCATAAAATTCCTATCGTTTGTAAACAAAACTAGAGTTAACACGATGTTTTAATGATTTTTATCCGGAACAGAACAATATTTTTGGCGCGCTGCCAAAATGTCTGACTGCATGTCGAAGTATTACGTCATAGGCCTTTTGATGTGATGATTCAACAGTTTTTTTGCTTAATGTTGGCATTATAATATAGCCTTCGATATCTTCTCAAGCAAAAGATTGATGGCTGGTAATCGGAGGAATTTCTGTTTTAATGTCCGCGTGATAGGGTCGATATTATTTCTACACGATGTCTGATTTTGTTAACGACTCCACACGTCTTTCTTCTCTCATCCCAAGTTATATGGGATTGGCTTAAACGTTTTCTTTTTCCATTATTAGAGATCTTACTGCGAGTTTTTTTAGGTTTAATGAAATCAACACGAGACCGCGTTCGATGCTGTGATTGATCGGCTCCAATGAACGAACCAATTAGAGCGCCGCACGTGGTCTCGTTCGATGTTATCACATCACACTCTTTTCTCTTTTTTTCTTGACTTCATTAGCTCAGAATATCAAAGGAAAAGAATAGTTACATTCCATAACAACTGTTCTAAATTTAAAAGCTTAGGTGCACAATAATAAATTGTGTTCAACGAATTTTTTTTTGCAATGTTAGTAGCTCAAGTTCTTGAGCATAAAGCAATTCTTGTTTTCGATACTTTCTAGAAAATTCAAGTTAATAAAAAAATTGTTATCATTATATTTAGATTCTGATACGAGAACAGGAAATCTGTTAGTGGGAAATCCATTGATTCTTAGTATACAGAGAAACTCTTTAGTTCTTAGTAATATTGTTATGGGCAACCCTCCAACGTACGTCACTGTTGGGAAAGTATAGCAAACAAAACAATACCATTGACTCATCCCTTATTTTAAATGTTTATCGTAAAATTACCTATGATTTTCGAAGGATAAGTCGAGATTTTTGTTCAAATTGTTATACTAGAAAAATAGATGACTAGAAAAATACTTAGGTATCTTTATTTTTCTTTCCTATATGTGTTGAAATACTGGCCGCTTGTACTATTCCTGCAAAGAATTAAAAGGCTGCCTCGTTGGCCGAGTGGTTGCCAGTGCGACTGCCGGGCTAAGAGTCTCGGGTTCACGTTCTCGGTCGGTTTTAAAAAAAAATCAGTAGTAGCACCGAGTCTTGAATTGTGCCTGGTATATAGGAATAGGCTCACCCCCTATTACATGAGACTCATAATATAAATAATGAAAAGTGGGTGTTACATTGTATAGTGGCATTAAGTGCCGTAATATGCACCTCTGCCTATCCCTTCTAGGATAAAAGGCGTGATCTTATGTTATGTGTAATTAAAATGTTGTTTTGTAATTAAGACCTAAAATAAAAATGTTTAATATAACAATTCATAAAAGCCGTTTTCCTATTATGGATTAATTTATTCATTTAACGTTTTTTCGTTTCACAGTGTACGGAAATCTTCTTGAGGACGACCTGCGCGGTGACACATCTGGAAACTTCAAACGGCTCATGACGTCACTCTCTATGGTCAGTTTTTTTTATGAATTTATAATTTCATCGTTGTTTGCGGGTTGTGACTCTTATTACGATGTGGTTAAGAACATTTTTGTGCGAAATATGATAAAAATAATCTTGTAATTGCCCTTCTAAGAGATACTAATCGTTACAGGAATCATTGAATGTAACGGTACACTATGAAATAACTAATTTCATGAAAATATATACACCTCTAGTGAATTTTAAAACTAGATGTTATTAACTTATAGTTTTTATATTGACGTAATGTTCTAAAATGCGTAAGTACAGTCAAAACCGTTTATAATGACATCGGAGGGACCGATTAATTATGATCGTTATAACCAATAGTCTCTATAACCAGTATCTTTATGCTTTATAAGACAATAAACTGGACCTCAAAATTTCGTCGTTGTACCCGATTCGTCATTATAAACGATGTCGTTGTAAGCGGTTTTGACTGTACTTACATTATTATTGCATAATGTCCAAATACTCAATTTTAACTGACTGCCTCGTTGACCGAGTTGTCGCAAGGGGTCTCGAGTTCGATTCCCGGGTCGGGCAAAGTATGACTGAGTTATTTTCAAAAAATCTCAGTAGTAGCACGGAGTCTGGAAATGTGCCCGGTATATGGCAATATGCTCACCGCCTATTACATGGGATTCATAGCATAATATAGGTAGTGAAAAGTGGGTGTTATATTGTACAGTGGCATTAAGTGCCGTCATGTGCACCCCTGCCTATCCCTTCGGGGATAAGTGCGTGAAATTATGTACTCAATTTTAGGTCGTGCTTAGGTGTAGTTCTATCTCTATAAATTCTTTGTAAACTGACAGAGATGGAACGATTTTTAAATACTACTTAAAATTGAGTAGCCTTTCTGTAGAGTGTAGGGCATAGGTAAGTGTTTTTAATTTTATATAACGATTTTATTTACTACTGTTTCTAGGGCAATCGATCTGAGGACTTCCACGTTGACGCGGAGAAGGCTAGGGAGGACGCCAGGAGCTTGCTCCAAGCTGGTAAGATATTGAACCTTATTACTATAGCTAAAAGAATTGAAATCCAAAATGTTCGCATCCTGCTATTAGACTACTTATTGTACACTTTTTATTATGATATATGTTCTTTTTATTTTTATGGTGTACAATAAACTGTAAATGAATAAAAACCAATGTTCTGTCCAAGCAAAAATGAACACTGACGCTTAGAGATAATGTAGAAAATTGCACAATAACAAGAAAGGTCGACGACACACGACCTAGGTTAATACTAAGGTCGTTCTACGATGCTATTAAGACAATACTATTACTTGAATGAAATCTTTTTTAAGGTTTTAGTTTCCTTATAGAGACTAGGCTATTTGCTTTTATATTATAAGGCTAATATAATACATGTGACATACGAAGTCGCAGATAGGTGCTAATTTTATGATAGTACATACATATACGTAGTTAAACTGTCCAATATTGCGAGGACACCGGTGTCCGCCCAACTAATATTCTTTAATTGTGTCTATAATGACGGTACTCAAAGGGTTAAAGAATTTTCAATTCTGATGCAAAGGAAATAATGTTAATAATACAATGGAAGAGTAATAGAAAAGAGTAGAGCTCAATATGCAGTTAATATCTACATTTATTTGCTTTCATTTTTGCTTGTAATCTCGAAATAAAATGGACACGTGAATCTGCATTTTGTTTGCAATGATTGTGTACGTTATTCAAAGAAAGTGACGCAAGCGCAGTTCTAAGTTTACTGTTATAATAAATTCGATCAAGAAAAGTTCATAAATAAAAATAGAATTTACTTATTAGTGTCAGTTCTATTATATGCAGAAAATAGTAGCTTTCTAGACATATAAGCGGTTAAATGTAATTACAAACGTAAATACGAAAATAAGTATTATACAATACTGACGATATTTTTGTGGTATACAGGATGTGATAATGCATTTGTGGCTGTATAAAATAATACCTAATCAACAATGCGGTCAAATCGGACAGCATTTGAATTTTATTTACAAACCGCTTTGGTTCCTGTTTTAAAACAACATTTGAATGTCAGTATAATTATCTACGTTCCTTCCCATCCCTTATTATATGTACAGATATGTATTTGTACACAGTTTGTTTACAACCATAATCTATATATATGAAAATGAAACCCGTTTCCCGTTGTCACGCCATAATTTGAGAATGGCTGGACCGATTTGGCTGATTTTTTTTGTTATGTTTGTTATTGTCGGCTGAAGGTTTTTATGATAGAAAAAAACCTGAAAATCTTATGTGAACGGAAGAAAACGGGATTGCGCGTACGAAGTCGCGGGCAGAAGCTAGTTATAAATAAATATACACTTTTTTAATCTATAAAACTAAAGAATTTGTTTGTTTTTTGAACGCACTTATCTATGGAACTGCTGGTTCCAATTGAACCATTATTTTTGTGTTGGAACGTCTATTTATCAAAAAAGGTTATAGGCTTAAACTGTCAAACACCAAGCGGTCACCGGTGACCACAACCTATTGTTCTATAATTGTGTCTATAATGACGGTACTCAACGAGTCAAACTTCACGCTATAATCAGTAGGAGTCGAGACAAATACTGTTCCAGTCCTACTTAACTCATTTCAAGTTATGTGTTTAATACATATTTACCACACAATAATTCCAAATCATTTAGGTACTGTTCTTTGAATCATATTTCATTGAAGTAACGAATGTTAAGAGGCCCTCGTATGTTAATCAAAGTTCAAGTGCGTTCGACTTGTTTCCAAGTCATGTTTGTTATGAATCAACCTGTATATAAGTACCTACTTAGATTTATCTCAAAATGAAATATACAATATACACCGTATTCTGTTGAAATTAACCTTCAAATTAGCTTATACAATTATAACTTGACGTTATATAACCAACTATATATTAAAGTAGGTACTTCTTTAATCTTTATTGAATTATGTTTGAGCTATTTAATCAAAAATTAATCACGTGATCATTCTAGCCGATTGGCCAAGTGGTCGCAAGTGTGACTCCCGGACAAGGAGTCTCGGGTTCGATTCCTGGGTCGGGCAAAGTATTACTGAGTAGTAGCACGGAGTCTGGAAATTTGTCATTCATACAGATGACTGCCTCGTTAGCCGAGTGGTCACAAGTGCGACTGCCGGGCAAGGGGTCTCGGGTTCGATTCCCGGGTCTGACAAAGTCTTACTGGGGTTTTAAAAATCTCAGTAGTAGCATGGAGTCTGGAAATGTGCCCGATATATGGCAATAGGCTTAGCCCCTATTACACGGGACTTATAACATAAATAGTGAATAGTGGGTGCTACATTGTACAGTGGCATTAAGTCCCGTAATGTGTAGGTACCTCTGCCTACCCACTGCCTATCCTACCCGGATAAAAGGCGTCATGTTATGTATGTATCATTATAGCCTCATCGTATTCAAACAAATAGCAGAGTAGCAAAGGAAACGTAGTTTTCTTTTTTTATTAAACACTATAAGTTAATAAGGTACAATATTCCTTGGCATGTGTGATATAAAGAATAATACAGAATTTTTCTAAGTCCTACAAAGTTAGTTCTTAATGTGTTCTGGTTTGGACTGAAGTAATGTTTTATTGTATATTTAGTTCCAATGCCAAATACTCAATCGTCAGTTAATTCTTAACTGTAGAATAAAATTGACATTTGACAGTTTCAAGTATGAAAATTTATGATTTTGACTCATTTGACTCTTTTGTGCCTTTAGGCTTAATTCATTCTGTCTCCTGCAGTAATTCACTGAGGGAAGTGGAAACAATCGTTTTTTTTTTCTTGTCCTTTATAATATCTTTTGATTCCTTTCGTTGCGGGAACCATGACAGTTATTCATGTTCCTGGGACGGACTTCAGTGTCCCGGTGTTTTCATGGTTGTATCTACTGTAGATCCTGATTTACAGGAGTTGCAGCGGTTTCGAGAGGTTGTGGCGGGCGTGTCCCAAAAAAAAAGTTTTTAGTATGGAAGCATTGTCAAATATTCAAAGTTTTTATCTTTTATTTAACTCGTCGAGTACCAGTTTTGTAGACACAATTATAGAACAATAGGTTGCGGTCACCGGTGACCGCTTGGCGTTTGACAGTTTAAGTATATATCTAGCGTTGGAAAAGTCGGCCCTTATTAGTTAGAACAACCCAAAGACTTAAGTAAAGTTTGTTTAAGAATTAACTTTATTTAAATAGGTGTTAATTAGTATTTGCTTTAAACCAAGTTTTATTATGAATAGCTCCATAAAATTCTAACTTCAATACACATGACATTGACCTTGTCAACATAACAAAAGAAACTGTATAAATAGTACAAAACAAATTATTTCCTACCATATTTTAATGTGATATGACTCAAAATCGCGTCAACATGTGTATCACCTGTTTAAACGTCTAGTTATTACTGTGTAGGTATATACAATGACCTAAGATTGTTAAAAAAAAAGAAAATTATTCTTTGTCTTATGACTAATGCTCTTGATGTTATAGTAATCCAGTTTAGATGTTTAATATGTACGAATCATTATACTGGCGTCGTTATGCGTAGGTACATTAATGTTACTCAGACTCGCTAAACTGGTTTAACGAGTCACTCACGTATTTCGTGTTTAAGACCTCATACATCAAAAATGATATACGTCACTAATATGACTTCCGTTCGTTTAACATTATGACATAAGATGATCACATCACATCTCACCCCCTATAACATGGGACTCATAACGAAAAGTGGGTGTTATGTGCCTATACCTTCGGGGATAAAAGGCGTGATGTTATGTATGATCATATCTTAATAGAATCATTGTAGATGTTAATATTGTGTACATAATCTAGCTTTTGAGCGCTTTTATTAGGGCTTGATTTTAAATTAATTAACTTCATTTTGATATCTATTAATTGACCTTTTGCCGGGAAAACCAACATTGTATCAACCCATCAAAGCTGTGTCATACTAAAATATGTCTTACGTTCGAGGCCTACTCACAATTTAATTCAATATTGACGTTCTTTAAAAACCCACTATCCTATTCCGTAAGTACTACGTCACAACCTTCGATCTTCAAATTCGATGATTAAGCTATGACGTCATAATTGCACAACGCGGTGACCTAGAAATGTGACGTCATATAATAAATGACTGGCAAAGGCCATGGCGTGTTTTTATACGTCATTTGATTGTTTGTTTATATGCGTAGTTACGTAGGTAGGTCCATTAGGGATTTCGTTAAGAAGTTGTATGAGTGATGTTCTGAGAATAGATAGAATTGGATACAATAGTATGAGAAGATGTATTAGTCATATTGCTTTAATGATTTGATGAATTCATTTTGATGATAACGTGACCCCAAGATAGTTTTGTAGTTATCACGTCGTGACTAACTAGTTAATAGGTATTGAATGTCGTGGTGGCCGGGAGGTTTAGACGCTCCCCTCTCGTGCGGGTGCGGTTTCGAAACCTACCAACGGCAAGTACCAATGTGACTTTTTCCGAGTTATATGAACAAAGAAAGAAAGAAAAATCATTTATTTGGCAATTACACGCACAGAAAACAAGAAATATAAAAGAAAAAAAAAATACATATATATAAACAAAATACTAATAATAAACTTACAAGAATAGAGATCAGAACAGAAAACATCACAATATAACAAAATAATAATACGATAATAACAGAATTTTGAATAGACAATAAAAAAAATCTAATAAACAAAATAATAATATTAATTTGTAATATTATATGTACTTTCTAAGGTTATTTAGACACTACTGGCTAACGGTGATGGAAAATATCGTGAGGAAACCTGGATTTATAATTTCGAATTATAAGTTTGAAATCGCCAACTCACAATGAGCAAACCTTCTCCGTGTGCGAAGAGGTTTTGCCCACACTGGGCATTTGAGCTGATCATGATGATGATGATGAACTAGCCCCACTTTCAACTAATCCCTTTGATTGGTTGAAACTGTATTTTATTTTTTTTCTTACTTAGTGATAACGTTGATAGGGACTTATAACAGACATAAACAATGGTCAGCAATGCATTCTGTACTCTCTATGACTTTCCACTTCTCATCTACGATCAGGAGACCCGCCTGCTATTTTGTCCACTATACATTAAAACTAAGCAGTGGTTTTAATGTGTCTATTGCATCGCCTCCTTTTTTTTTTGGGAAAATCATCGAATGACTGCTCCCGCCTGGGTGAGGCGGGAGGGAGTGTCAGACTCTTACTGACTAAAAACCACCCCGTTCCTTCTCCTGCACGTCGAGTTGGAGCCCCGGTTACCCGTTAGGTTCTCCGCGACTCCGAATCGGCATCGGCCGTATTGGGCCCCTTACGACCTTTTTCGCAGATCTGTCATAAATACTCTAAACCTCATTTTTTTATATTTTATTATAACTTTCCAGGTGAACTGCGTCTCGGCACTGATGAATCAGTTTTCAACGCGGTGCTCTGCTCTCGTTCCTTCCCGCAGCTGAAGGCCATATTTCAGGAGTACCAGTATCTGACTGGACATGATATTGATGACGCTATCAAGGCCGAGTTCTCTGGTGACCTTGAGAAGGCTTTGAGGGCTATTGGTAAGAATTAAATATAGTTGTATAGTTAGGTAGTTAAAGAGTGTGAAAGGGGAATATATCTTTGTCATTCTTACAGGTGACTGCCTCGTTGGCCGAGTGGTCGCAAGTGCGACTGCCGGGCAAGGGGTCTCGGGTTCGATTCCCGGGTTGGGCAAAGTATTACTGGGTTTTTAAAAACACGGAGTCTGGAAATGTGCCCGATATATGGCAATAGGCTCACCCCCTATTACATGGGACTTCTAACATAAATAGTGAAAAGTGGGTGTTACATTGTACAGTGGCATTAAGTGCCGTAATGTGCCCCTCTGCCTACGACTTCGGGGATAAAAAGGCGTGATGTTATATCATATAGTAAACGGAACGCTCCCGAAATGCTGACTAAAAGAAATTCTTTTTACAATTTTATATTATTTATGTTTGTTTGTATTTATTTCCATGTTTTATTCATGCAACATTAGCATTGAGTAGTTGATTACAACTATAAAAAATAAAAAAAAAACATTATCTTTTCTTCTTTTCTAAACAAATTATTCTAATTTTTCAGTGAAAAGCGTCCGCAACAAGCCGTTGTTCTTCGCGGAACGTCTGCACAAGTCGATGAAGGGTCTGGGCACCAACGACCGCCAGCTCATCCGTATCATGGTCACACGGAGCGAGATCGACCTTGGAGACATATCGGATGCCTTCCAGGCTAAGTACGGAGAGACGCTGCAGAGCTGGATTGAGGTAAGTTTCAATTAATTATTCATTATGATTAAGGCATATCAAATACTCCCTCATTAGTCGAGTGGTCGCATGTGCGACTGCCGGGCAAGGGGTCTCGGGTTCCATTCCCGGGTCGGCCAAAATATTACTGGATTTTCTAAAAATCTCAGTAGTAGCACGGAGTTCGAAAATGTGCTCGGTATATGGTAATAGGCTCACCCCCTATTACATTGGAGACATAGTGGGTGTTACATTGTACAGTGGCATTAAGTGCCACAATGTACACCTCTGCCTACCCCTTCGTGGATAAAAGGCGTGATGTTATGTGTTATTTAATTTTATATGTCTTTCTTCCAGGGCGACTGCTCCGGCCACTACAAGAAGGGTCTGCTAGCGCTCCTTGGCCTCTACTAAACTCAGAAGCACCTGATGATCACCATCAGACCGAAGTACATCATTGAAATGTTTCATTTATTGTTACTCTTTAAATCTCAGTGGTTATCGATGTAATTCATATTATTTTTAAGATTGTCTGAAGTATCTCAATGTTATTATTATTAATAGTAAGTTTTCTACACTTTTTTAATACGTCTACATTTACGTTTTAACGCTGCATTGGTTTGTTTATGATCGATGTAGATTTTAATAATGACTTTACAAGAAAGTATTTCGGAAATCTGCCACTTTATATATTTCAAAATATCCCAAAATTTTGACATACGAATACTATTGTACATGCACCTACATCGATTGTATAATAAACCAATAAGCGAGAACTACGATTCTGCAGAAGTTTTAGATTATTATCAATAGATGGCGTTGTACCAATATAGTATAGTGACATCTAACGTGTCTTCTTGACACTACGCGTCCTATGAAGGTATTAAGTATTGGATTTTCAATGTTATACTAATTATTTTGGATCTTTTGATGATAATGCCATTGCAAATTAGTCTTTTAGGACTTTTATAATCTCATATAAAACGATCTTAAAAAAATATATAAATTTCGTAAAAAAAAAACTAAAAACAACGCCTTATTAAATAAGTTGTTATTTTTAATTTAGTAATAGGTACACTGTAAACATAATTATATATTCTATATTATTATTTCTCGCTCATAAAAACATTGAAATTAATTTAATTTAATTAAAAATTTAAACGTAATTCGTCCACGTGATCTGAACGAAAAATCTCTTACTCTACTCTTACTTTTACAAAAAGTTTATGATCATAGTTTTATTATTATGATTGGTGTTATTGAAAATTTAATATTTATTCAGAGTATGACTCTTAAGTTATTTAATATATTTCGAATATATTGTGCCTAAAAAAATTAATGTACCTCGAACAGTGTTCAGAATAGCCCCATTTTTGAAGCTACATTATTATAATGCTAGAAAGAGATAACTAGATTTGCTGTGCGTGCTTTATATAGCTCTGAGAGCTTTGTATGAGTTTAGACCTCTGATTGGTTGGTTCATTATAGCAGGCCAATCAGCGGCGAACGTGGTAGCATTTCTATATCGTTAACCGTTATAACTAGTACGGCCTTTTCTCTATGTCGTATGGGATGGAATTACATAATTATAGCTTATTAGATAATATTTTGGAAACAATATTTCATTAATTATTCGTATTCGTGCATAATAATATTAATAGTACCTATGCATAGTGTAAAATTGATTAAAAAAACAATATTAATAATTTATAAACGACGTCAACTTTCTCTTTTTAAGTCGCTTAAATAATATACTATGAATCCTTCTCCTAAATGTAAAGAACACTTTTGAAAACCACATTAAAGTGGGTTCATCGGTTCGCGAGATAGTCGCGCACCGAACATACATACATACAGACAGGTTACACTGAGAACCTCCTCTTTTTCTTTTTAAGTCGGTTAAAAATGTAATAACATATTTTTATATCTATATCAAACTGATTTTGAAATTTTATACAAGATGTAAAAACGCTCCCGAAAAACGCCTACAGGTGATTTATTTATTTAATAATTTATGTACACACAAATAGCACAGATGATAACATATATATATATATATAAAATAAGAGTACATAGGTGATACTTATTCCTGTTGGAATTTCTTCCAGTAGACCTGAGACAGGAGATGTGATAAAAACATAAGACAGTGTGTAACAGAAGAGAAATTAAAAATAACGATAAGAAATATGTATAAAAAAAAAGGCGATGATAATAAACAAGTTTTATTTTTATAATAACTATCGTGATACATACTAAATTAACTTAAATCGCAGGGTACTCACGTGAATATACTGAGAAAAGCTCTACTAGTTTCGAACCACAGAGGGGTAATTCGTCATGAGCAGCATGCGCGGTCGCGGCGATGTCGCGCAGTCAGCAGGCTGTGTAGCCTAGTATAGAACCCCTCTGTGGTTCGAAACTAGTAGAGCTTTTCTCAGTATATTTACGTGATTATCCTGCGATTTATAGTTAAGTTTTATTTTTCTTTTATGTAATAACTAGCGACCAGCCCCGGCTTCGCACGGGTGCAATATGTATAAACCTTCCTCTTGAATCACTCTATCTATTAAAAGAAACCGCATCAAAATCCGTTGCGTAGTTTCAAAGATTTAAGCATACAAAGGGACATAGGGACAGAGAAAGCGACTTTGTTCTATACTCTGTAGTGATCGTTGTAATCAACTGCTCAATGCAAGTGTTGTTTAAATACCACGAAAACAATAACGATTAAAATTGTTAAAACATTTATTTGTCAGCGTTTCGGGAGCGTTTTGTTTCCACCCTGTATTATTTTCCATGCCATCTTTAATTAAAACTATTAAGTTTAATCACAATATTGTACGAATTCATTCAGATTTTAAGTTAATATAATTATAATTGTTCTATTATTGTTGTATCAATTAATGGTTTGTCTGCATTTAAGTTAAAGATAAAAAATTAAAAGACAGGCTTGAATTTCCATTTATTTATTGTTTTATCTTTTCAAACTAAAATAAACTTTAAACATAAAATAATTAAGCCTAAAATAGATTAACGTCACTATTATAAAAGCTGAAACGAGTTCCTGTACGTCGCCTTATACAAAAAAAATCAATACAGATTAAACAAACATTTTACAATATTAAAAAAAAAAATTACAAATAAGATATTATATTACGACATCTCCCACCACTATCAAATAAAAGGCTATTTAAACCAACCAACACTTGTGCACTAATACGAAGCGATTTTTGTTCGTCATATTCCTTAGTGAATCTGTTGAGTCCATATTTGCTATTTAATAAAATGAAATATTTATTTTTTTAACCAAACTTGTTCATACAAAAGTAGTCTCTGATAATCAGTAATAAGGTCTATAATAGGATGTGTAAGAGAAGACACCGGTGTCTATTAAAGGATTTAGAATAATACCATTCCACTGGCGAATCATTTTCTAATTTCGTTTTATAAAGTATTTTACCTTAAAACCTACTAAGATAGCAAATATAGGCTCTGATGTTTGAATAGCTTTTAATATTCAACTCTATTGTTAAGTACGTAAAGTTTTGAATATATAAAATAAATGCTTATTGTATTGGTATGGGTGCTTTACACCTCTCTACGTGCCTAGTTGTGTGACAACGTTTCTTGACGCCTATACGCCAATCGTTCTGTATTTTATACACTAATTCGTGTAATTTATTTAATAAATGAATATGTAAGTGAATTTTTGTTTTATTTTATTCACCTTTTCTAACAGTTTTGCCTGAAAACTTATAATAAGACTGCTTCATTGCAATTGCGACTGTCGGGTAAGGGGTCTCGGGTTCGATTTCCGGGTCGGGTAAAGTATTATTGGGTTTTTAAAATTTTCTCAGTAGTAGCACGGAGTCTGGAATTGTGCCCGGTATATAACAATAGGCTCACCCCTTATTACATGGGACTCCTAATATAAATAGTGAAAAGTGGGTGTTACGTTGTACCTACTGGGGCATTAAGTGCCATAATGTGCACCTCTGCCTAACGCTTCGGGGATAAAAGGCGTGATGCTAATAATAAACCAGCTGGAACAGCCGCTCTGTTTCACCCGCTCTGCTCGACACCTATTGATCGTAGCGTGATGTTTTATAGCCTATGGCCGTCCTCGATAAATCCATTATCTAACACAAAATATTTTTTCCTAATGCCATATACCGGGCACAATTTCAGACTCCGTGCTTCTACTGATAATGACACTTTGCCCGACCCGGGAATCGAACCTGAGACCTCTTGCCCGGCAGTAGCACAATTAACCAATATTAACAAATAAAAAAAGGCTGGCAATATTAACCAATCGTTTCTAAAACAAATGTCCAACGTTATGAAAATGATTCAGCAGGTGTATCAAGGCTGAACGAAGCTAAAATTACGTCACAAATTAATTATTTGTTTCATCCCTCCCAGATGTTTCACGGCACTTCATTGACGATCACGCATTAATCTAGCTACGTCTTTAGATGATTTCTATCTGAAGCAGGTAAAGATCTCATTTTCTACAAAATTAAATGTGAAAGTTTGTTATATCTACGTTTGTTAAAAAAGGTCAAATGTTTGTTAGGTTGCAGTCACCGGTGACCGCAACCTATTGTTCTATAATTGTGTCTACAAAACCGGTACTCGACGAGTTAAGTACAATTATTTATTTCGTACAAAAAAATAATAATATTGATATCATAGGTATACTTAGATAGATATTTTTGTTAAGGGGGAAAAATCATCGAATGACTTCTCCCGCCTGGGTGAGGCGTGAGGGAGTGGACTCGTACTGACTAAAAACCACCCCGTTCCTACTTCTGTACTTCGAGCCGGAACCCCGGTAACCCTTTAATTTCTCCGCGGCTCACCTAGATAGATAACAGTCTGTAATAACACAGAGGGTAGTTTTCATTCCGGCCCAGTAGCGAAACGAATCTTGTTTGATCTCTGTAATAACGAACGAAAGGTAAGTAAGTATCTGTCTAATTTACTGTCAGGTAATTTCGCAATAATCAAGAATTACTGTTTAAAATTATTATTTATGTGTTCAAATAAACATGTCTTTATTTTACTATCATAATCTAGTTAGGTACTCTAATTTTACTCCACTTAGGGCCGATATTTGCAACGGTAGATAAATTTTAAGTGAAGACTAACTTTCAATAAGGATAGAAGAATTGTCTAAATTCTTCCATACTAAAAATTATCAAATGCCAATTTTATTTGCAGTTAATAATTAACTGATGATTGAAAAATCGGCTCTTATACCTACCTACAACTGTAGTCGCGGAGAACCTAACGGGTAACCGGGGTTCCGGCTCCGACAGGAGAAGGAACGGGGTGGTTTTTAGTCAGTAAGAGTCTGACACTCCCTCCCGCCTCACCCAGGGGGGAGCAGTCATTCGATGATTTTCCCCCCTTAAAAAAAATACCTACAATTGTACAATCGTAAACTGCACAAATAACAAAGTTGCATTCACCACGAATCTTAAACACGTAACTAACCCATTTAATTCGCCACTAAATGCTCAATAAAATCTTACAGAGTAACATCGGCAATAGTGAACCTCCTCGGCCCTCCTCTACGTGGAAGTGCTCTTAAACCTATTTATTATTCAATCGGCAACTCAATTTTTAACCGACTTCAAATTGAAGTGGGTTGCTTTTGAAAGGGACATGTGTGGACAGTCGACAGCAAAATTAACGACATAATAGTCGGTTTTAGGACTTTTGATTAAAGTAAGTATTGACCTATTTTTAGTATAAAGTTAGTATGCTGATGTGTCAGGTTGAGATGTGTATTGTATGCCAAAGGATTAAACTCTGCTCGATAATCTGAATTTGCAACCGTTTAACAATCGTGGCACTCAATTCAATACTTGAGATTTTTTTTTTATGGCATAAGCCGGTAAACGAGTAGACGGATCACCTGATGGTAAGCAATCGGCGTCGCCCATGGACATCTGGAACACCAGAGGCGTTACAAGTGCGTTACCGGTCTTTTGGGGATTAGGAGTTTGAGGATCGTTGGGGATTCAGGAATTGGGGAGATTAGAGAAG